TACTATGACAGTGAAGAGGTAGTCTACGATGACCTGATGACCCAGTCAATTCACCACTGGAAACATGGTCCAAATGACTTCCATGAGAGTGTTCTAAAGCTGTACTGTTCAGCCAAACACGGTGAAGGAACTGCTTATACACATTGTGAAGGTGGGCACTGGAAAGGTGGCTAGTGTGACTGAGGAACTGAAGTTTAGGCTGTAATTAAAGTTGAAAATGCCATGTGGCTGGTGGTTACCATGCAAAACAATCAAGATCTGAAAAGAATTGTTAGCTTACTAAAATACTTAATGACTATACCCCTCTTTCAAAAAAGTCACCTTCAACTTTACATGTGTGTTTATATGTGTATATGATATATGTATATACATATGTTTGTGTACATGACTGTATGTGCGTGATGACAGTGTATGCATGTGATATGTATGCATGTATGTAAATGTGTGTTGTGTTTTATGTGTGCAATGTATATTTGTGTATGAATGTATGTAAAATTTGTGTATGGTATATGTGTAATGTGCTTGTGTGTGATTATGTATGTATATGTATGTGTATATGTGTAAATATAAGTATGCATATGTATCGCTATTGTGTTGTTTCTTTTTTTTTTTTTGAGACAGGGTCTTGTGAAGCCCAGACTGGCCTTGAACTCACTATGTAGCAAAGGATAACCTTGAGTTCCTGATCTTCCTGCCTCTACCTCCTGTGTGCTAGAGCTGCAGGAGTACACCCTCATGGTTTATTTATATGGTGCTGGAGATGGAACTCAGGGCTTCCTGCCTGCTAGGTAAGCACTCTACCAACTGAAATATAGTCTTAGCCCCTTTTAACTTTATTTACATCTTTGTCAATGCTAGGGATTGAACCCAGGGCCTTAAGCATTTGTGGCAAGGGCTCTACCACTGAACTACACCTTTGATTTGTTATTTTGTTTTCATTGGCACAAGAATAGCTCATTATGGGAAAATGAAGACTCAGTGGAGCTTTGCATACTATCGTGTTTGAAGGCTGTTAAACAATATTTAACTTGCACATTAGCTAACTATGCTGAACTGATACCAATTAAAGCCTTTCACATTGACAGCCAAAATAAAAGGATGTCTTTTTGGAATAATAATCTTATTCAGACTACACTCATTCAGCTGTTTGTGAAGACTTTTGTATTCCTAATTACAAATGAAAGAATAATAATTGTGTGCTAGTCTCATTAAGCTGTACGGGTGCAATAACACCCAGGTATACTGTAAATTATAGTTTGCTGAATCCCACTGGGTATGCTGGAAAAATAAGGTATTCAGATTTGGGAGTGCTGAGAATTGGTTGTTAAAAGTGAAAGCAATGGACACTGAGGCTACCAGATATGGGCCATCTTCAAGGGCGGTCATGTACTAAGACAGTATTCAGTTATGATGGTGATATGATGGTTAGTGTTGTCAACTCCACAGAATCTGGAATCTCCTGGGAGCCTGGGAGCCTGAGTATGCCTACAGGGGATTATTTTGATCATGGTAACTGATGTGGGAAGACCCATTTTAATTGTGGGTGAGACTACTAGATGGGTAGGAGATTCTGGGCTGTACAAAAAGGAGAAAGGAGCTGAGCACTATTATGCATGCATTCATTGCTCTCTAATTCTGACTGCAGATGCACTGTGAACAGCTGCTTCAAGCTCCTGCCTTCTTGACCTCGCCCCTGAACTGTAAGCCATTGTACACCTTTCTCCTTTGGGTTGCTTTTATCAGCATATTTTGTCTCAACAACAAGAAAGGAAACTAAGACACTGGTACTGTTTGCTACACTCACATGTGATCTGGAGCAATTGTTCTGTCATCCCATGGGTCTGTGCCAGGTGCCCAATCAGCAAATCCACATTCACAGCTATTGACATTGTCTGAAGAGCAAGGGATGCTTCAAGTATTCAAGATGGTCCAGGGGATTTTAGGATTAATAGCCTTTTCAGTCTCCTCATAAAGATCAAAGTCACGGATAACTCCTCTATTGTTGATTTCTCCCGGATGTTGATACAGGGCAACTGAGTCTACTTTCTGTGGAAGCATGTGGTCTTTTTGTCTGGTGTTCAGCACAATTAAAAAAAATACAATTTGAGTTGGTTTTAGGGTTGTAGAGCTTTTAAGGGGGTTGGAGCAGGATGCTAATGGCTGTATGCTCATGGATTCATTTTGCATTTGCCAGAAAAAGTAATCTTTTGGCTAATTATAATTTTTGTTTTATTAAAAAAGGAAACTACCATATGACCCAGTTTTACAACTACTTGGCATACACCCAAAGGCCTCATCTTATTGTAGAGACACTTGTACATCCATATTTGTTGCTCCTCTTTTCATAACAGCTAAGAGATGGAAGCAACCTCAGTGTCCCTCAACTGATGAATGGATGATGAAAATGTGGTACATTTACACAATGGAGTTCTCAGCAGTAAAGAAAGATGAAATTATGAAATTTGCAAGTAAATGGATGGAACTAGAAACTGTTATACTAAGTGAAGTAACACACATCCACAAAAACAAATGATGATGATCTCCCTCATTTGTGGTTCCTAGCACCAAATCCTTATATGTATGTATCCTGATGTAACTGAGGAAGCAGGAAAATGGAAAGGAACCAGGGATGTAAAGGGAAAGAAGAAACCTGAGGAAAAACAGTAGGAGACAGGTGTTATTTAGGGAGAAATGGGTAAAATGGGGGTATATAAAGGGAAGGGGGGAATAGGAAAGTTATACAAGGAACTATGTGGATAAAGGGGAAGAAGGAGCTCAAGAGAGGTGGGACCATAGGAGACTGGCATTGTCAGAAGAGACATGGGGAAAATGGGAATACTTTAAATGGGGAGGGCATGGAGAGAGGGTTAGACAGGGAGAGAGAGGAGATATAAATAATGCCTACCTAGTGTAAAAAAAAACCCAGAGAGAATCATATTAGTCTGGAAACCTACAGAAAAATTACAAGCACAGTATCTCTACATGAGTCCATGTATATAGCTGAAGGCTACGAAACAAGAAACAGTGCCAGACAGGAGAAACCTTCCTTTGAGTTGTTGGCCAGGGTGGTTCAAGAGACTCCCAAAATAACACAGGCTATTGCCACAGCCCTTGATTGCCTCCTAGAACTTGAAGGTGAGACTCTATTCCTGAAGACAGTACATACTTGAGACACAGTAGTTGGAGCAATAGACCTGGAGCTTACCTGGAAGCCACTTCCCCTAAAGGCCAGCTTTTATAGGTTTGGAGAGCACTATGCAAGCTGCTAAGGGAGAACGTCAATTGATGGTCCAACCTTAGCTTCAAGGCCTACTAACCACATCAATGACTAGCACAGCAAATGATATTGCTATAGTAGTGGCACTTTATCTTGGGGGTAATCAACAGCTATCTAATTGGACTTGAAGCTCACCCAATGGGAGGAAACTCATGTGTGGTACTGTCAATCTAGCCAGATACAAATGGCTGGAGAGGTAATAGATCCTAGAGAAAACCCCAAGACTATCACATCCCTAGATAAATGCAATTTATTGCTATGTGCAAAATATGGATCCTAATATTTACAGACAAGTATCCCAGTCACCACTCATCAAAGAAGCTTCTTTTGCAACAGAATGAGACTATTGTAGAGTTCCAAAACAGGTCACACACAGACATTGTCTGTGACTTGCCCAAGCCCAAGTGGCACATCTACAATGCAACTTCTATACCTAAAGCTCACAGAACATACAACAAGGGGTAAAGAGGACACGAATGCATCTTTTAATTCCCATAAATGAAGCTCCCTCATGCAACAGAAGGCCGTGAACACAAAAGGCCACAAATGGCCAAAGCCTAGAGAGTAGGAGTCTGCAGAGTGTGGGTCCTTAGACAGGACTCCTATATTAAACTCTACCCACCCAGGGCTCAGGGACCAATGCAGAAGAGGGAGGAGTGGAAATGGAGTCCTACAGGCTCTTGGGGTCTTGCTCATATGAACCTACAGCAATTGTGTCAGCATGCACAAGACTCATACAAACTCAAGCAGACAAAAACCCAGCACAGAACTGTGGAAATGGGCAGCAGGTCCAAATCTTATTTGAAACATTATTGCAGCTGAGTACTGCTGGGTAAGGAAGAACTGATTCTCTTAAACGATGGGACTCTAGATAAGCTGACTAGACCCCAGTGGATGAACTTGCACTAAGGAATGCCTGGGGACATTAACTTGTTAAGATAGACCTTAACACACATGATATAATCTATGATTATGGGAGGGTGCCAATGGGGAAGGGGTATAAAGATGATTAAGACTTATTAAGATGTTCTGTATGAAATACACAGACAACAAAAAAGTTACAAAAAATATTAACTTCAAAAAGAAAAAAAAAGGAAACCTCTAACAATTTGAACTTAATCTAGGTCTATGTATATTTGTGACTCTCAACAGAAATGTTGAAAGAACTTTGACAAAGGTTTTTGGCAGGCCATATTTACTTATTCTATTTGGTTTTCGTGAAGGCTAGTGTCACCTGTCAACCTGACCAAATTTAGAAACACCTGAGAGACTGGTTTCTGATCATGCCTTTGGGGAGAATCTTGGTTATTTTAACTGATGTGGGATGATCCATCTTAATTGTGGGCAGGACCTTAATCTCCTGGGCAGGGATCCTGGGCTATGTACAATGGAATAATCAAGTTGAGGAGCATGCATGTGTTCATTGCTTTCTTCTGACTGAGAACATTATGTAACCCGTGCTTTAAGCTCCTGCTGCTGTGACTTCCCCCACATCGATCAACTATAACCCTGAACTGAGACCTGAAATAAACACTTTCCTCATTAAGCTGTTTTTGTTATGTATTTTGTCACAGCAACAGGAAAAGTTACTAACACAATACCCAACCTCTGTGAGGTGAAGTACCACCTTACACCTGCCAGAGGGAGGAATGAGACAAGGTCTCTAGCAAGCTACCCAGAAAATGTATGAAAGTGAGAGATGTTTCAAGACATAGATTTTTACCGATAATGTGACTTGGAAGTGCAGAGTCAGGAACTATATCTTCTTCATCCTCTCTCAAGTCTTCGTCGACCTCTGTCACCTGCAAGTAAATATTAGAAGTTCTTATTCGTTATTCTAAAAAGGATTTTTTGCATTCCTCAGGATAATGGTACATTCTGTAATAAGTGGGTGGGCTCTAGCTGTATGTACACACGTATGTGGGCGTATGAATGTGTATGTGCATATATCATATTCTACTTTTCCTTTCTTTTATTATTTGGCTTCATTAGAAGTTTTAATTATGAGAGTCTATTTCCAGGACTAAAACCCCAGCTTTGAAAGGAAATAGAGTCCTATAGGTTCCTGGGAGCTTGCTAATATGAACTTATAGCAATGGTGACATCATACACAAGACCCATGCAAACTCAAGCAGACAAAATACCCAGCACAGAACTGTGGAAATAGGCAGCAGGCCCCAATCTTAGCCGAAGAACTATTGGGCACTTGATCACTGCTGGGTGAGGAAGAGCTGATCTTCTTTAAGGGAGTGGTTCTAGATAGACTGACTAGACCCCAGTGAATGAACTTGCACTGAAGGATGTTTAGGGGTACTAACTTGACTTGACAGGCCTTAACATAAACGACAGAAATGCATGAAAGCCTTTGGAGGGAGGATGGCTATAGGAGTGTACTGATGAGGAAGGGGGTATAAAGATGATTAAGATATTCTGTATGACATACACAAAATCTCAATAAAATTATACAAGAAAAGAAAGGCAGGACTTACAGGGTACTTGATTCTATGTAAGAGTTCAGGAATAACATCTTTTGTTTGAAAACTTTATAAATGAGTCATTCACACAGGGCTATTAGAAAAAATTAATGTCAAAGGATGTATAACTCTACCAGAGTCAGAGACTTCTGCCATAAGTTATTTTAATAAGAATAAGGGGATATACTTGAATTATACTTAGATTTCCTTACCCTTTCCTGGAATATAAATCTCTAAGAAAGTGACTTTTTTTCTTCTTTCTATAATGAAATGAGGAGACTCTGTTGTGTGCTCAGTGAATGGTAACACTCAGACCTGTTGCGAAGTTTTACATGAAAATAATCCCCTTGCCTAGGGATATAGCTCAGTTGCTAAAATGTTAGTCTTCCATGCATGAAGCCCTGTGCTCAATCCCCAGCATTAACTAAACCAACTGGGATGGTCCATACCTGAAATCCTAGTACTAGTGGAGGTCGAGGCAGGAAGATAAGAAGTTTAAGGTCATCCTTAGCCACACAGTGAATTTGAGTCCAGCCTGGGCTACAGGAGATCCTGTACCAAAAAAATTCCCTTTGAGCTGGAATACTCAGGCACCTGATCACATATACTAGAGAGGATTTTATAGATGGGAATTCTGAGGATTTAAAGTTTTCCTGAAATTTGGCACATGTGTAGTAAGTGGTAACACTGGGAAGAAAACTTAAGTCCCAAGCTTTCTAGTCAGTAGTGGGGCACTGTGGATGTCAACAATACAAACAGCTGACTGGGCTGGGGAGCTGTCTTACTCAGTGAAGTGTTCACCCAGTAAGAATGAGGATCTGAGCTTGATCCCTTAGCACCTATGAATAAGAGCTTGATGTAGTATGTCCGTATACCCTTGAAATGCCAGTGCTGGGCAGGTAGAGACATGTGGATCCCTGGGAGTTCACTGTCCAGTTTGCCTAGCTGGATCAAAGCAATGGGTTCCAGGCTAGTGAAAGGCCCTGTCTCAAACAAACAAACAAACAAACAAACAAACAAACAAACAAACAAACAGCAAAGTGCATAGCAACTGAGGAATGACACCCAAAGTTTGCCTCTGGCCTCTACACATGTGGATACAGGTGCATGCACCCCCTCCACCACAACATATAAACAAAAACAGCAGACACCCACATACTCAATGACAAGATCTGTGTAAAACCTTTACATGGAGCCATCATATTCCTTGCAGAGATGCTAGGGACTCAACTCCACCATAGACACGAGCACCCTCCCTGAAGCAGCAGGGTCATACAGAACTGTCTAAGTGAAGGAGCTGAGATTCAAAACCAGCAAGCCTGACTCAAGGTTGATGCTCAAAACTTTCTGCTTCTCAAATTTCCATTCTACCACATCTGTGTGGTCCTGGCTTCACTTTCAAGACCATTGAGGTCCTCAGTGGATGACAGCTCCCTACAAGCTCGTATACATTCTAGCTGGTCTCTGGGCAGCTGATAGCAACAGTATGAATTGTGTGATGCTGTTAGATCTGCTCAGGGTCTCAAGTTGAATATGACACAATGGTTATTTTACACCAGTGCCATAGAAAGTCATATGTTTGCATACTGACCTTGGGGTAGACTTAGCTTTCTACTTTTTACCTCCCATTTTTTTCACACTGAATGTGATGAGAAATTATTTACATTCTATGACTGTGCTACACGTGGCTTCCAGACTATCCAAGGACCTGGTCTTGTGGGCAGGCCCCAAGTCCCTTCAGCTGTCCTGGGCTGATGGACCTTCATAAAGGGCAGATGACCCAAGGAATGAGGATGTGATTGTGGATTTGAACCATGCTTCTTGATGAAGCCCAAAGTGACGCAAGGGCAGTATCTGAGAAGAGCACAGTCTCAGCCCTGCTTATCCACACAAATAGATTTCAATATGCAGCAAGGATAGTTTTAAAATGTGCATACGCAAATGAAGGATATACTTTACTTTGGCAGTGGATTCTCCTGTTATTTTTCATAGGACCCAGTTTTAGTTAATTTTCATTCCTCACTATGCAGTGGCTGGGTTGTGGGAACATTTGTGGGAAGTTTAGAGAACCCTAGGTCAAGACGAGGAGTCTGCCAAAGGCAGGCACAAGCAGGCCCACTTTATCTTGAAGGGGCACTGTAGAGAATGCAGGGGCTGCAACACCAAGATGCCTGCCTAATGTTTGGTTCAGAAGCAACTCGGAGGGAGGAATTCAGGAATTTCTCAGTCATTGCTATCTCAAGAACACACTCAAGTCAATGTCACAAAAGTTCCATTTTCTAAGAAGTGGACCATGGCTCATAACAAACAACTATGGGCACTTTGTGTGTGCATGTGTGTGTGTGTGTGTGTGTGTGTGTGTGTGTGTATGTGTGCGTGTGTGTGCATGTGCGTGTGTGTACATATGTGTGCAGGTGCACTAGAATGCATGCACATGTGGAGGCTGGGAGTCAACTTTCTGTGGTAATCTTAGGGACCATGTACCTTGTTCTTTGAGACAGGGTATCTCCCTAGCATGGAGCTCACTGATTGTGTTAGGCTGGCTGGTCAGTGAGCTCAAGAATCTACCTGTTTCTGCCTTCCCAGCACTGAGATTACAAGTACACTACATCATACCTGAATTTTTATGTGGATTCTGAGGATTGAACTCAAACTTAGGTCCCCCGGATTGTAAGGCAAGCACTCTACCAATTGAGATATCATCCTAGCTCTATGTATATATCTTCTAATGGCCTAATATCTAACACATGCCCATCTTTTGGGGCTTAAGAGCTGCTCCAAATACCAGCTTACAACAAGCAAACAGTGTATATCATGGCCTCCATCATGACCAACAAATTCCTGTCATCTGAAGGGCTATGGGAAATGAATTTGCAAAAGACACAGGAGTGAAAGGGGGAATGGAATCTGCCACTGACTGACAGACAGCACTATTTCACAAATGAAACCCTGTATTCTGGAACTCCACACTTGAATTCTGTTCATCTTTCTTCTTTGCATGACTCTAACCCTAAGGGCTTCTCAAGGAAGCAACATCTTTGATGTTAAAACCCATTTAAGGGCCAGGGCAATGTCTTTGTGGGTACAAGCACTTGTCACACAAGTGTGAGGACCTAAGTTTGAATCTCCAGAATCCGCATAAAAGCCAGAGGTGTAGTGTGTATCTGTAATCCCAGCACGCCTGTGGGAAGATGGGAGGAGGAGACAGGAGACTCCTCAGAAGATAATGGGCCAATATTCTGGTATGCACAGCAGCTGTGAACAACAAGAAAAACACTGCCCGAAAAAAGTGGAAGGGGAAGATTAACACTTAAATTGACCTCTGACCTCTACATGTACACATGACACATGTGCATTCATATTTACACACACACACACACACACACACACACACACACACTCACTCACAAACCCATTTGAAGGGAAAAAAGAGATATAAGGAATTTTTGAGAGACAGTGATCCTGGGAGGGAAAACTAGCAGACATCTTTGGAATATTTCACTCTTTAGAAAACTTAGCAAGAGGAGGGCAAATAGGAAGGCTGCTTATTTGCATCAAAACAGCATTTAGAACCAAATCATTCAATTAAGGATTTTGGAATTATTACATTTTGTCAGCCTTAATAAGATGATAACCATTTGTGTAATTATGGTACTATTTTCTGCTATTTCATCACCATGGTCCCATGTTAATGGGATGGTATTTGATGATTTTTTATTAGCAGATGTGATTTTCTTCAGACAAGGTGACACTTGGGGGAAGAGAATCCTATCATTTAAATTAACATACATACATTAACATGGGCATCACTCCTCGAGAATCATGAAGGTGTATGATCCTTTTAACTTTGTTAATGATTTTTATTTTGGAGGTGTTAAAAAGAGCTTGGAGCTGTCTTCCTTTAAGACTGCTCATTTATGAAAATGATCTCAACCCACAGGAAGAAAGAACCTGTAGTACATGGCAAGCAGAGCATACCTAGGTCATGTCTTTCAGGAGGAGGTCTCCCCCCCACCTGGTTCATTTGGATCACATAAAATTATTTAAAGCAGAAAGTAACATGGGTCCTGGTCTAAATTACATAAAATATTAGAGCTAAGTGGCCTACAAATGATGGCAGATATGGGGACATAAGCCTCTAATTAAAGCTCTGAAAAGAGATTTATTTCAGCAAAGCATTACTGGGACTTTCACACATTTTATCTTAACTATACTAAAGAGAATATGGGGTTACTGGTGAGATAAGTGACTTGTGGCATAAAGGAATTTGTTAAATATATAAAATATATGTAAATAATCTTTCTGCTATTATCTCTGTGATGGTTAGCTTTAATTGTCAAGTTGACACAACTTAGAATTACCTGAGAGGAGAGTCTCAAGGAGAGATTGTCTACATTGGGTTGGCCTATGGGCATGTCTGTGAGGGATTGTCTTAACTAAGTTAATTGATGTGGGAAGACCCAGCACACTATGGGCAACACCATTCCCTAGGGTTCTGAACCATGTACGAGTGGAGAAATCGAGCTGAGCACAAGCAAGTGAGCGAGCATGCATGCACTCTGCTCTTGCCTCAGGATGTGATGTGACATGACTAGCTGTTTGAAGATCCTGCTGCCTTTACTTCCCCAACATAATGAACTGTAGTCTGGAATTGTGAGCTACAATAATCCTTTTCTCCTCAAGCTTCTTTTGGTCTGTATATTTTATCATATCAATAGAAATGAAATTAAGATGATTACTACACATTAAAATAATTAAAATGCCTTCCACCCTTGTAAGTAAATGTAACCTTTGTAAAGAGCAAGGATTGGTGGCACATTGTGTTACAAGGTTTTAGAACAGTGATTTGGGCTCACAGCTATAGCTTGCTTGCCCAGGAAACATGAGGCCCTAGATTCCACACCAAGTAATGATTGGAAAAAACACAAAAAGAAAACCCTTGATTTAAAGTTTCATTGACAATAGAATTATATTTTTATTCAAGATGAGGGTCTATTAAGTTGCTATTGTTTCTAACTAAATAACTACTATGAGAAAATTTCTTTGCAAAACACTTTAAAATAAGTAGAGGGTAAATTTATTTTGAGCAACAGAGAAGAATTTCCTTAAACTCTGAATTTTATAAGGTTCAAGGGCATTCACAATAATGTGCAATGGTATCAAATACATTTTATTTTGCTTTTAACCTTCCCATATATAGGCTAATAATGCATAATAAATAGGCTTTCACTGCTATTTTTGAACTATCTCAAAAGATACTATAGCATAGTCTTTTCTGAAATCAGTAATTTTAGATCTATACAGATAGTTATGGAAATGAAACAGATAAATAACCATATTGCAATTTATACTTTAAAAAACTGGAGCTGTGGGAATGGATCTGTGGGTAATGTGCTTGTTCCACAAGCGTGAGGACCTGAGTTCAGATCCCTAAACCCCACCAAATGGCAGACATGGTAGTATGCATCTGTAATACCAGATTGGTATTCTGAAATAGTGAAATGGGAGGAAGAGGCAGGAGAATTCTTAAATGCTCACAGATCAGATAGCCTAGCATAAGCAATGGCAAACAAAAGACCCTGTTTCAAGCAAGATGGAAATTGAGGTCCACCTGGGAGTGTCCTCTGACCTCCATACATGTGCTGTGTCACATGTGTGTCCACATTCACAGTTATGAATGTGGATACATACATGGCATGCCCACATCAGATATAACACACATAACACACACACACGCACACACACACACACACACACACACATACACACTAACCAACTATCTATATATCCAGGATAATAATATTCCTCTATATGGAAAATATTCTCAGTGTGACTAATTTCTTCTCCCAGCTTACTAGAAAAATTAGCATATCCCTACTGATTATGTCTACTTGGGCTGGTTAGGAAATCTTTGCATTTTATACAAAATAATATGAGTGGTTCCTGTAGATACACTGGAAAGAGTAAAGGTTCCTTTTCCTACCCTGTGGAAGACTTTAGATGAGGCAAGAAGGCATGTTAAATTACTTTAGCATTAGGAAGTAATAAGAAAGCAAAATGAAATTGTAAGTCCAAAGTAGGGTCTTTTTTTGTCCTTCTGTACAGTGAAGATATACCCTAAGCTGTCAGAGCCATATTAAATGGGGCATAGTTAAATGGAGTGCCTGTGATAAGGGCTCTGCAGGCTATCAGAGCTCTCCATCAGTAGGATTGAATTTCCAGCATACTGCATGCTTCTTCATGTTCCTTCTTTCTTTTTCCTTTCAGTGACACTACAAGGGCAGCCTTAGATATGTGTATAATTTGTGGTTTTCTAATGCAGGGGACATCTATGTTTTCAAAGAAGAAATGATCTCATAAGACCCAAGAGCAAAATTGGGGGGGGGGAGAAAGACAAAAAAGGAAAAAAATGCAATGAACTGAGTCAGCTTAAAAGAAAGACCTTAGAGCTCCTTAAAGTCAAGATCTATCGGAGGAAAAATATTTTCAGTGCGTGTTTGTCTCAACTGTGTTTGTGAAACCGTAATCTGAGGACCATGGAGCTTCAGTAAGGGGAATACAACCCCGACTGCTTTCCTAATCTGTTTTATTCTTAAAACACCTCAACTTTCTGCCAAACACAGTTACTTACTATTTTCAACTTTCCCTCAGAAAAATAGTTACATGTGCTATGTTTTATACCCTCTTTATTAAAATAGGAAAAGATAGATAAAATACCTTGCATGTAGGTGTGTGTACATGTACATATTTGTGGCAGGATTGTATGTATGTGTCAATGTTGGGTGTCTCTCTCAATTGTTATTCACTGTGTGTATGTGTTTGTGTGTGTGTGTGTATGTGTGTGTGTGCGTGCATGTGTGTGTTGTGTAGTGTATTATGTGTTTTTGAGGGTGTGTGCACATGTGTGTATAAATGTGAATGCATGTAGAGGCCAGAGTTCAATCTGGGTGTCTTTCTTAATCACTTTCCACCTTATTTTTTGCGACAGGGTCTACACTAAATCTGGAGCTTTATTCTATTAGACTGGCTGTCCAGGGAGTTCCAGAGATCTTCCTGTCACTACCTCCCTAGTGCTGGGACTATAGTCCCACACTGCGTGCCTGGCTTCTTTACATGAGTTCCAGGGATCCAAACACGGGTCCTCATGTTTACATGATAAGTAATTTATATTGCCTGTGTCATCTCCCCAGTCCCAGATAAAGTCATTTTATTTCAAGAATATAAATAAAATATATTTTGTTGTTTTGAGTGTCTTAAACTTATCTATTGGAACAATAAATACCATGAAATCAATAATATAGGCATATAATGAATTGTAAGGAGATTAAGTACAGTTTAAGTATACTTTAAAAATATTACATGAAACTAGCCTATCCTATGGAAATAAAAAAATACCATGTTATGTAATTCACCCTTTTCTGTCTCTGTAGGATTGCTTGGCATGTACAACTTCCACAAACATAAACAGCACTTAAATCAAACCATCAAAATAGCCAATGCTTTCAGAAATCCTTTCATACTTTCATAACTAAAATCATGTTTGCTCCTCTTTTTTTGCTACCAATGTTGGAAATCATCATCAGAACAAATTTTCAGCACGGGGTACAATTTGAAGAAGGCATCTTATAGCTATTATACCACTGTTCTGAAAATACAGCTGAAGAGAACCGTGTTCCCCAAGGAAGCCACACCCACTCAGTCTCCTGCCTCTTCTTGCAGTCATCACCTGGGCATCTCTCTTCTTTGAAAATCTTTTACTTCTTACTAAAGAGATGGCTTTGTGACTAAAACACTTGCCATGCAAGGTAAAGACTTGAATTTGGATACTTATAACCCAGGTAGAGCTGGACATGGTAGTGTTTTCTGTAATCCCAGCATCCCTTCAGCAAGATGGAAGGCAGAGATCGGTGAATCCTGGAAGCTTGCTGACCAACTAGTTCAGTGTACCCAGCAGGGAACAACAGATCTCATCTCAAACAAGGTGAAAGGTGAGGTCGGACACCTTAGGTTGTCCTCTGACCTCAAGTGTGCTGTAGCACAGGCACACCCACATTCACACATATGAATGTGCCTATATACCATGCACACACAGATTAAAAATTTGATTTTTTAGATTGCCTCCCAACCCCATTCATAATCTCTTGCTTGGATAGTATTAGCCAAAGGTATAAAAAAACCAAGCTAGAACATCTCAGAGCCAAGCTCTTTCTAGCCAGGTTGGACAAGTGCTTACCAGGGATTCTCTTGGTATTTCCATGTCGGCTTTGGCTTTGATAGTTTTCTTTTGGCTTCCTTGAGTGCTGACAGAGCCACTGGCAGAACAGGAGCCCTGGGAGGTACCCTTTAACACATTCCTGCAGGAAATACTCTTTGATCCACTTTCTGTCTCTGGAGCTGCTTTCTTATCAACTCTGCAGGTAGAAAGTGATGCCTCTGATAAATTACATCACCTGTCTTCAATCCCTCTCTTCTTCCCAATGCTTTAATGTTTAAAGTAGCCTCCCTTCTCTTTTTATCTGAAAACCTTCCAGTATTCCAGTATTGTTCACTAGTCTTGAACAAATCTTCAAATATTTCACTAGTGTGCAAATATAGTTTTGCACTTATTTATTATAATGCATTTATTCTTTATGTGTTTCTCTCTCTCTCTCTCTCTCTCTCTCTCTCTCTCTGTATGCATGAAGGCAGACGTCAAAGGACAACCTTGGGTGTCATTCTTTAAGCAGTGTCCACATTGATCTTTGTAACTGGGTCCCTCCTTGGAACTTACTAAGAGGTTAGGCTGGCTAGGCAGTGAAGCCCAGGGATCTGCCTGTTTCTAACTCCCCAACACTGGGATTACAAGCATGCCCCACCATGCCTGGATTTGTTTATGTGGGTTCTGAAGATTGTACTCAAGTCTTCATGCTTGCAGGGTAAGCAGTTTACCAACTGAGCCATCTCCCCATGGCCAGCCCCTATTTTTATTTCTATAATTGCTTTTGGGAAGGGACACAATACAAAATGCCAAAAGGTAATCGCTAAATACATTTCTGGCTTAAGATCGGCAGGAAAAGTAATTCCTTCTGGAAAGTTCTAAGTATACGTTTGTTCAGTACGATCAATGAAATCAGCATGCTCTCAAACCTGTGTGTAATTTTCTCCCATTTCATGCAGTATGGGTACATTCATAGTTCTTGGTATGGGCTGAATTCCTATCAACCTTGATATAACTCACCATTCTTTAATTTCAAAGACCATTGGCTTGGTTAAGAAAGGAACATGAACTAAATTATCATTTTATTGCTAACTTTTATTTCATTGTTTAAATTCTGCCTAACGTATAAGAGACTGCATATCTGTGTGCATGGAGAGTATGCCTGGCTGGTATTTAAGGAGCATGAAGAAAACAAGGATGGATGAGGGGCGGAGCAGGGAGACCCCTCCACATCACCACCCTCTGTTCCAATGCATTACCTGTTCAAAAGTTCTGTCATGAAGGTATCTTTTGTTGAGCATGCAACAGGGCTGAGTCTATTTCTTGGCTCCAACTTCATTTGGTTATAAATGTCTTGTGATGTTTTCAGATTATTTTTGCTTTGCAAACCGTTGTCTGGACTCAGACCATCTGCCGACTTGGTGCCCCTGGTGAGCTCATTTTCTATCTTGGACTGTCCTTCGGGTTTCTTCTTCTCTTTTTTCCTCTCTGATTTTAGTTTTGTATCTTTCTTTTCTATTTTACTTTTGGAGGCATCAATTTTCCTGCTACTGAGAGCTGGAAGTCGACTCTTCCGAAAACCAAACCAGCTGGCAAAAGAAGGCCCAGTCCTGGGCTTGACTTCCACAGAGGTGGACTTTGTCTGTGCTTGGCCCTTTTCCACATTCTCTTGAATGCACAACATGACCTTTTCTTCGATAGAGGGTGTGAGGGGGGCCTCTGAGCTCATAACACCAGTCCCGGTTGGAGGAGCATCTGGATGCATTCCAGAAGTTTCCAGCTTGGAAATTCTGCTTGTTTCCAAGTGGCTCAGATGCTGCATCCTCCCTGAGACTTGCAGGGATTGAGGGCAGACTGTTTGGGGGGGTGGATACCTTCGGTGGTCATTGCTAGCTTCTTCAGGTATGTTGGTCCTCGGACATTCTTCCTGGGTATAGACCTGATGGTCTTCCATTCTAGGTGGTGTGAGGAGCCCTTCAGACCTTGTGGGGCTCCTCAGAAGTAACTTGTTTGGGCTTCCATGCTGACTGCAGGAGCTTCCTGTGCTGCTGAGGGACTCCTGCCTGGAGAATGAATGTTCCTGGGGTCTTCCAGCACTGGGAAGACTCTCAGAGGTAGGGGCAAAAGGGGTCTTGCTGGGGGACCCTTCTGTGGAGATGTTTTGCCTGGTGAGTGAATTTCCTCTCTCAGCAGTGTTGGTAATGATTTGAGTTCGAATCTTGCCTGGTCCTTCTGTGGGGGTTGTGGAGAGCTTCTCTCCTGAGTGGACGCTGAAGCTCTGGCTCCGAGCTTTAGCACCATTCATGCCTAGAGCTGGCTTCAGATGTGGCTTGCTGGAGGAAAAGGATCTCTTCACAGACCTGTTCTGGAGCCTATCCCTTCCACCAGCTCCACGGATGCTACTTTCTGATGACTCTGGAAGTGCTGATTCTAAGGGAAGCCTGTCTGCAACTTGTAGATCTAGCAAGGCTGTGTTCCTCTTGTCTCCTGAGGTCTCTAGGCATGCTGAATCCCTGGAATCCCCAGTCTTAGACTTGTTGGCAGCCACAGAGCTTCTAGAAGCTTCATTTAAACTATCTTTTTCCTGTTTCCCTGGAACTGTACAACTTTTCCTGAGCAACTGAGGAGACTTCGTGAGAACTTTGAGTCCTACTGGGAGGCGAGTTTTCGGTCCTTTCTCAGGAGGGTTTTGATAGCTTTGTGAGGTGGTCTGGTTTCTGCAGGAGGAGGAAGATGAGAAGGAAGGACTGCTAACCTGAGATGGTGGTGATTCATTTGCCCCCGGGAAAGACAGCCTATGGTGGATTGTAGTGCTGTCACTCAACTGTCCTTTTTTCCCTGGAGATAGGCTTTTAGAAGTTGCTACCTCCAGTAGTTCATGGGTCGACGGACAAGTCTTCAGTGTCTGTAACCCTGTATTCACATGTGTGGTTCCAAGTGCTTGGTGAGGAGCGGGTTTCAGGATGCCCGTCTTTGAAGGGACTTTTGGAGGCCCGGGAGCAATAACAGAAAGTGAGCTTGAGGGAACATGTTCAGCATATTGGCTGTGCATCACCGCTTCTGTGGAGGGCAGGGTGGGAGAGAAGGCAGGCTTTTTGAAGGTGGTAGAAGGCTTTTTCCTCTGCATTTCTGACATGGCTGGACTGGAGGAGATGACAGCAGCAGATTTCAGGGCTGGGGATTTGAATGCTGAGCTTACAGTATCACTGGAGTGCCTGGTTTCCAGTTTGGCAGATGATGGTGATGGTGGATGGTTATACCCAGGTCTGAATAGGAGGGAGACTGACCTCCCGGGAGGTGGTGGAGGGGAAGGAGACCTCACCCCTGCCTCTGGCCCAGAGCCACAGTGTTTGTCCCTCATGGGAGAGTCTCCACTGTCACCAGTCTCAATGAGAGATCTTGACCAGATACCTAGAGTATGATTCTTGGGACACTGAACCCAATCCTTCTTACTGGAAATTTTGGGGATGTGAGGAAGCTGGGTGGAGTGTTTTGGAATGTGTGGGTCTGCTCCTACATCACAGTGGGCCCCCAGGCTCTCTATCTTCATGTATGGTGAGAATTTCCCAGAAGGGGAGGCTGGTGAATTTTCAAGAGTCACTAGGTCACTGGGGGAGCCTGGCATGGAGGGAACAGGCTCCACCATTTTTGATTTCTGAGGTGAAGACTTGCCTCTGGAAGGTATTTTTGTCCGCCCCCGTTTTTGATAGATGCCCGTGGACGCCAAAGATCTAGGATTACTCTGGCATGCCACACCTTGTGTTGGTTTGGGGAGCTTTGGCCTTGGGGTAATCTGAGTTTCTGTGGTCCTGGGGCTGAAGGAATCAGTAGGAGCTATGAGAATACTGTTCTCCTCGTCTTTTGGAGTATCTTTTCCAGTCTTCTCTTCATGTCTCCTCAGACAGGGATAGTCCCTTGCGTTAGCTCCTGGCTGTAAATGAGTAATTCCCTGAGCTGAAAGTTCAGTGTGTTTTTCTGTGGACCCAGTAGGGACTGGGTTGATGGAAAGTTCATCCCTGGTCACAGTGACAACTCCAGTCTGGTGAGAACTGAATTCAACGGGCTCGCCATTTTCCGCATCAAATATGACTGTGATACATTCTTCTGAAGAGGTCTTCTTCACAACCCTTTGCTGTCTGATGAAACTGAACGTCTTTGGCCTCATGTCTAAGTGGGAAGACTGTTCTTCCTCATCGTCATGAAGCCTACATTCAGACTTTCTGAACCCCACATCCAGGTTCTCCATGGACTTGTCAGTATCTATGGTCAATGACAAGTCTGAAGGGCTTCTCTCATCACTGCTCTCTATGTGCAACTCACCTAGGGTTTCAATATCATCAGTGTCTGAAAGCTGGAAGCTGAGAGCCACATGATCATGACCTTGACTGTGTAGATCCCTGTCTCTCTGCACCCTGGGCGTGTGCATGCTGGGGCATAGCTTCCTCTCCAAGGGCCAGTGGCTGGCACAATGAGTCAGCCTTTCAGGCCTTTCTCTGGTGTAAACTGAGGCTGTAGCTTCTGAAAAATGCTTTCCATGTAGCTCCCAGCTAAATAGACTATCTGAAAGACTGTGGGTTAATCTACTGCCTTGTATCCTGCAGCCCTGGCTCACAGCTGCTTGTGGTAATGTTGAGGAAGGGGAGTCTTCATCTGCATCTTCGTGGGAATCAGCATCATAAGCCAATGTCTTACAGAGCTCCTTGCAGGGGCTCCCCATGCCGGGTGGCTGGCACGGGGCATATTCCTTGAGGCTGCTGCTCTTAATTCCTGGAGAATAGATCCCTTCATTTGAGTTCATGCAATCTTTATAACCCCATCTGTTTATCACTGATGGTGGTTCAAGTAACACTTTCCGCTTCTGTAGCTTCCTCAGCCCTTCCAAAATGTGGCTTTCTTTGATACGGGTTGGAGGTAGCTCATCTGCAGGGCTGGCAAAGCCACTTGGGAGTGAAGAATCGATACTTAGCCTTTTATCCCAATTCTGTGATGATTGCTAAGAAAGAAAAATAGGTATCAGAGATGATTGAACCACACAGATCTTAAATAGACAAAAGGGACAGTCTCTCAGTAGACTTAATTTATGTAACTGGGTGATAAATATTCACATATAAATGCAGTTTGCACAGTGCTCACAATGCAGTAAACATCGATTTTGCAAGGTCTTGTGCTAAGAACCATGGTGAAATAAAGGAATGAAAGGTAAGAATCCTGTCTTTAAGGAGTAGGAGGCCAAACTGGGGAAAGGAAAATTGACCACAGCTATCTATTTATCATGGAAACAGATGAGAGATGTGAACAGGGTGGGTATTCCAGAGGCTCAGAGGTGCTTACATATGTCTATTGAAAATACCATAGAAGGAACATACAAAAATGTTTGCTTTTCTTTTGTTTTTATAATGAAGTTCTATTTTAACTATTTTTGTTGTTGTTGCATTTTTAATAAACTTTTGCAATTTTCATACAATATAGTTTAATGGCATTTGGATATACTCCCTTCTTTGCACCTCCCCCACTGTCTCCTGCCTAATTCGATGAACTCTCTTACATATATAACATGACCTTTGGAGTTGACCTGTGTCCCTGAATGTCCTTCAGTGTGGATCTATCTACTGGGCCCCCAAAAGAGTCCGAACCCTGCAGGACACTCTTTCCCCCTCCCAGTTTCATGAATTGCCAAAAGTCCCCTGGGTTCGGTTGGGATTTCTTACCCACTTCCCTGTTATTTATGTGTATTTATGAGAGTGAATGTCATATGTGTGTGGGGATGCCTGTAGAGGCCAGAAGAGGTATCAGATCCATTGGAACTAGAGTTACAGGCAGTTGTGAACTACCTTAGATGGGTATGGGCTACTGAACTCAGGTCCTCTAAAAGAGAAGCAAGCACTCTAAACTGTTGAGCCATTTCTCTAGCCCCATTATTTTAAATTTACCTGGACCTTGCAAAACAGGCAGGCTTACCTAAAGTTGTAAGTAGGGAATAATTTCCAGGTAGTAGAAATGGTACGGTCAAGGACCTAAGTCAGGAAAGTGTACTCAAGTTGCACTAAGCACTAAGGGAATGGGCAGAAGACAATATAGTGTCTTTGTAGAATGTCAATGCATAGTACAGGAAGGAGCCAGAAGATTGACTCAAGTTCTCTTCTAGCATTGGAGAATTCTGTGTCTTCATGAATATCTACGAAAAATTTCTGAAGTTTTCATCTGCATATGTGTGTATACATACCTATGTTTAAGGGCTGAACATTTGCTCTTAGAACCCTGTGGAAATTATTTTAGAAGGTTAATTTCCTGCCCTTCATATCTCCCCAAATTCCAGCCTTACTTAGGAAAAGTGGGTAGAAAATGACATGGGAAAAAACCGTGTTCCCCACATTTGTGTTGTTCATTGTATTGGCAACAAGAAATGGAGAAGAAAGGAGGAAATGAGCATGCACTGAGTACCTGCTGTATAACCAGTGACATGTTGCTTTAACTGCATCCTCAGACCACCATGAGGGAGACATTATCTTTTCTGTTTTTCTGTAGGACACTGAGATCCAGCAAGCCTATTCTGTGGCAGATCTCAGAGATAGAAAAGTTGGAGCAAACATTTGGACTCTGGTTTTTCTGGTGCTTTCTATAACCCTGTGAATAATACCTCTCTTCCAAAGTGGGATGTGAGCTTGGGTAGGCCAGTTCTGGAGTCTGTACTCTGGGTGCTGGACTTCCATGTAAAGCCTAGCTTCTACTTTCCTTTCTGTATTAGCTGGTGTCATGTAGAGACCACAGGTACCTCTGCCATTATTTCTTAAATGGAATGGAAGAGTTTAAAATAACAAACTAGTGCTTTGAGAAACTGAGAGGCTGCGCAGGCTCACCTATGGACTTAAAATGTTTTATTTATTATTTCATTTTTAATTACATCTATGTGTGTGTGTGTGTGTCTGTGTGTAGGCATGTGCACATGAATGCAGGTGTCCATGGAGGCCAGAAGAGGGTGTTGGATCCCCTGGAGCTAAAGATACAAGCAGTTGTGAATCACGTAATGTGAGTGCTGGGAACAGAACTTGGGTTCTCTACAAGAGCAGTATGTACTCTTAACTACTGAGCCATCTCTCCAGCCCATCTAGGAACACTTTCAAAATGGCAAATTAATAGTGAATAATTTCAGGGACAAATCTGGCAGTTTCAGAAGATCACTATACCAGCTACCGCTTGCCAACAATGCTGAATATTAACCAAATGCAGACACTGCAAAATGCCAGAACCTTCCACAAGAATCTGCGCTTTCTAGTAAGCCATGAGCATGGAATCATATCTATGGCATTTTCACGGAAGTTACTCTTGCTATCAACAGCATACGCATTTGTCTTTAAGTCCAATTATTTATTTTATTTAGCAAAATCTCCAGCGTTGGAAGCTTCTGGGCACAGATGTAATTTAGGGAGACTGTTCTTTCTGTCTTGGAGTTTCATTCTTTAATTTTAGGGAATTGTACCATTCAAAGCTCCCTTGGAAATTCGAAGAAATCCCATCAGAGTGTATGGGTATTAAAGACAGAACACAGAATGGCTGCTACAGCTTGGGTTTCTAAGCATTTCTGTGGTCCTGAGAGTCACATTAAGATAAGATAAGAGAAACCAGGCAGGACCTTGAAAGTGGCAAGTCTTTTTAACCCCCAGAGGGTAAGCTCAGCCCCTGCCCACCCATCTTCTCTTTTCCCCTCCAGAGCCTCTCCATGCTGTGCCCTATTATGCACAGGGTCAGGGACTGCAAATATCCTAGTGTATCCTAAGCTACACCCATCCCCCAGTCTCTCTTGAGAAAAGTTTGTACAGATCTCAAAAGTTTGAGAAAGAAAATAAAACCCCAAGATCTTCATGGGACACAGATTAGGTCAAGTGCTATAATTTTTGGTTAACTCATTTGGATGAAGCTGCTAGGAAGAAGTGTGGGGGCTACTGATGATAAACTAGGGGCAGAGTGTGATGTCCCTGGTCCTTTTCCATCTCTTGATAGGACAATATTTTAAAATATTTATTTAATTTTTAGTACAAGATATTATTGGTGTTCATGGGAACAATGGCATCCTCCAAACAGACACAATCCCTCTGTGTAAGGCTCACTCACTAAGAATGAAAGTTCTGAAGCTAACATCCCAGTTCCACCAAACACTATCATTTAGTGCCTCAGTCTTCTTAGCTGCAGAATGGAGAGAATAGGGGATGGAAAATAGTTCAGTTGATAAAATGGTTTAGTTGCTGTGTAAGCATGAGGACCTGAGTTTGATCTCCAGAAGGCACTTTTAAAAAGTCAGTGTGGATGTGTATGCTTGTTTTACAGAGGCAGAGCCAGGTAGATCCCTTGGACTTTCTGCCTAGCCAATTGATCTAAGTAAGTTCAAGGTTCAGTGAGAGACCTTGTCTCAAAACAAAGCAAGGGCATCTGAAAAGTGACACCTGAGGTTGACTTCCGGCTTCCACATGCACACATATATAGACACACACATACACACATGTGCACCAACATACAACATGCACATATGCACATTCACATTTATGGGTAAAATAGAACCTGAAATAGATTATTAGCATTACATGTTCTAGTAGTTGTATAGTGCTTTTAAGAGAGGGCCATGTGGCAGCCATTGACTGATCAGAGTAAAATTTCTCCATAGAGGCTAGCTAGCAAATTTTATTCAGGCTACCTTTCTGTCTCTATACTGAACAAAAAAGTTGTAAGCTCAAAAAAGAGCTATTACTCACACATTTATTATGTGATTTAACATTGTATTGCCATTCATATTCTCATGATTTTAATATATTGTGTAAGTTGATACTAAAGGGCCCCCTGCCATCAGGCCCATACTGGGGAAATTTCTCAAATAACAGAATATTAAAATGTCTTAACAGTCCTGACCTGGCTTGCTTGGATTCTGAGAACTAGGATTGTACTCTGTGCAGTGTCACAGGTACACCAGGTCTATGACTAGATGGACACCTGAGTGTCAGCGAATGGTTTTAAGAGCCTTCTCCTTTAGGGGAGAGATTGTCTTAGTAGCTCAAGGAACAGAATAGAATGGAAGGAATGGAAGAATGTTCACCAAAAAAAGAGGGGCCAAGAATATGGCTCAGTTGGTAATGCACTTGCCATGCAAGCATGAAGACCTGAGTTTGATCCCCAGAACACAGCTAAAAAGCTGGGTGTGGGAGCATGTACTTGTAATCCCAGTGCTAGGGCGGTAGAGACAAGTGGATCCCTGGGGCTCACTGGCCAGCCAGCCTAGCTTGCTTAGTGAGTTCCAGGTCAATGTGAGACCCTGTCTCAAAAGCATAGCAAAGAAAACCACAGAGGGCCCCTGAGAAACAACATTTGCAGCTGTCCTCAGACCTCTACATGCATACATGTATGAACCTGCACACACACACACACACACATACACAATTTATATACAATTACACAATACACAATTACACAATTTATTTTAAAAAAGGCCCCAGGAGGAAAAGAGGGGAAAAGTGTGAGAATAAAGTGATAATAAGGGTTGGGGTTCAGTGGTTAAGAGCACATACTGTTCTTGGAGAGGACCTGAGTTTGGTTCCTAGCACCCATGTTGAGCAGCTGACAACCACTTGTAACTCTAGTTTCAGGGGATCAGATACCCTCTTCTAGCCTCCCTGAGCACCTGCATTCATGTGCACATACCTACATACAGAAACATATTCATTCAGGCAAATAAAAATAAATTTAAAAAATTTAAAAATAAAATGAGAAGAACAGGAGTCTGTAGCAGCCATCAACTTTCTGGGACACGGTAGGGAAGTCTCCCTGACTGTCTTCATAGCCTCTGAGCCACCAGGCCCCTGACAGCCATCATTTGGAGGTCTTAACTACTCCTTAAGGGGAGCAATTTAGATAATGCAGCCACCTTTCTGCTTTGCATTAGAAGTCAGAGTCTGTAGGAATAGCCTCAAAATGCAAGCTGGAGTTCTTTTTCAAAATTCGTGTTCAGCAAATGACAAAGCTATTCCCTCACCAATAGGTTCCTGGAATATGGAATTTTCCTGGTTTCTATACCTGGAAAAAGCACAGACTAAACATATGTGAATAGTAAAAAAGATCTCATCTGCATATTCTGGCTTGGAGTTTCCATTCTTGTGCCCTTGGCTTTTCTTTACCTTTGCGAAGCTGCTAAAATAGTTATTTTGAAATACTTGACTCGCACAAATGTGCAAGGAAGTTTGCTCAGAGCATGAAGGGTCTGTAGCTGTGTGAACCCACCGTGCAGATGAAAGGCACTCTCTTAGGACTGTCTAAAATCCTGGAAAGTGGGGAGATGGCTCAGTTAGTTAAGTGACTGCCATGAACACATGAGGAACGGAGTTTGGATCCCTAGAATCCCCATAAAAAAGCTGAGTGCACAATTTCGCACTGAAGAGGCATAGACAGGTGGATACCTGGGGTTCACTGGCTAGCTGAACTGGCAACTAGGCCAGTATGAGACCCTGTCTAAAATAACATCAACAATAACAAACCAGCAACCAAAGTGGATGTCTCCTGAGGAATGAAAACAAGTTAACCTTGGCTGTCACATGCAGCAGTACACATATGTGAAACCCTCCAACAAACATACAGATAAAATGAAATACAATAATAAAAGAGAAACCTGAGAAGGAATTCCTGGAATATAAGTAGGAACAGGACCCTCCTCATCAAAACCATGGTCTCTATGGCCTGCCCCAGCCCCTTTTCTGTCTGCTCTGCGGTCCTCTGATGTACAACCCGATGGTGTTTTGTGTTTAATGAACTGATATGATGAATTAGTGGTCTCCATGGGTAAATATTCAGCAAATGTTCATTTCCTTCCCACCAACCCCTCTACTTCCATGACGAAATCCACAATCATTGGATTCTTCACCAGCTTCCTGTGCTGGAATGTGTCCTGGCAGAGTCCTTACCCTTTTCTCAAGGTGCCTCCCATCCTGGCATGTGTAGGAGGAGCCGCTGGAGTACTCACTGCAGGTGCTGGACAGAGACAGCTCACTGCTGCTGCAGCTGTGAGGACAGAGGTGCCTGGAGACCACAGCCCCAGAGCCAGAGCGTTTCAAGGCAGAGGATCCTGATTTTGCATTCTGGAGGTGTTCCTGTAAAAGCAGGACAGGGCTTAGGAAACAGTGAATGCCCACTGAACCCAGACTGAGTGGCCAGAAGCACAGGCTTGGGAACTATAGAGACCTCAAGCTTAGATCTTAGTGTATGTTTATGTGCATGTATGTGCAAGTATGTTTATGTATGTGTGCATATGTGAATGTGTGTGCTTGAGCATATGAAGACCAGAGATCAATCTTGGGATATCATTCATAAAGAGTCTTGTTTCATGAGTTTCTACTGGGCCTGGACCCTACCAAGTAGGCTAGACTGACTGGCCAGCCCCAAGGATCCACCTGTTTCTGCCTCCTCAAACCCGAGATTACAAGCATACACCATCATGCCAAGCTTTTTTTTTTTTTTTTTTTTTTTTTTTTTTTTTTTTTTTTTTGTGTTTTGGGGGACACATTTGGGTTTTTTTTTTTTTTTTTTTTTTTTTTTTTTTTTTTAAATGTGGGTTCTGGGGATCAAACTTGGGTTCTCATGTTTGTAAAGCAAGCACTTTACCTACTGAGCTCCAAATGTCTGTCTGTTATTGTGTGGCTTCAGGGAAATTGTTTTGTTTCTAAGGACACGTTTTCTTTTTAAATGAATAGCAATGGAACCACTAGTTTTAGAGAGTTGCTGCAAGGGTAATCTCAGGTTCCAGACACGAAGCCCATAGTTGGTGCCTAGCCTATCGTAGGAGCATGGGTATTTTCAAGCTACCATCTTTATCAGACAAAATACCACAATAGTAGTTTCTCATTTAATCCAGCCACCCTGTGAGAGATCAAATCAATATCAAAACATGGCAGTGGGTATAGCTCAATGGTAGAGTGTTTGACTAGCGTGTAGGAGGTCTGGAGTTCAATCCCCAGCATGGCAGAAAAACACCCAATAATGCACTCTGAATGCTACAGAGCATCCTTGGTTATAGGGTTCAAGAGCATCCATTGCACTTCCGTCTAATGATTTGTGCCAGGTGACACACTGCTACCAAACATGCGACATTGTGCCTATAGCTCTCAATGTCTTCATTTGTTGAGTATGGCATCTCTACCAGATTACTCCTAAGTCTCCCTCTGGTTGGGATGATGTTACTCTAATCAGCTATCATACACCTCTAGTCTACCAGTGCAGTCTTATAAGATGTCATGATTAGCAGACACAGAGCTCACTTTATGAGTCTCCATGCAAAATGTAACAGAAACTTTCATAACCAGTTGGCTGTGTAAATGTTAATTAACAACCCTCATACATCAGAGCCCAGGGCCTCATGCAGAAGGTCCATGCTATTAGAATTCTAAGGGACCTGCAGAAGGCACTGGCCACCAGTAACTTGGTAAACACCCAAGCACATCTCGACAGTCACCTTGCAGGCCCCTGGTGTAATAGATGAAGCTCCACAAACTGGACAGGTTAAATTAATTTAGCATCTCGATCACTGAGAATAGTAGCTCTCTATTACCGTCTAATTCCAGCCTCCTATCTATAGAAAGCTTTGTCTCAGAAACTCTCAGATGCAGAGCCATCTGTCTTTATGTCATTTTCAGAGTTGTAAAGTCTCTTACTTATGCAATTTATTGACATTTTATGGGTGCCATTAGTACCTGAGTACTTATCACTGCTCTCCAAATGCAATTCTAAATGTGATGAAATGCCTCAGCTATGGCCCCGGAAGGCAGCCATGATGGGAAGGTACTTGTGGTAAATGTTAAACTCCTATGTGAGTACACAGGACATGTTTAATTTGCTCACTAATCAATAACACTAACACTCAATCATTTCATTTGCCTTATTATCAATACTTCCATTTTACTGAATAATAATCTTTTAAGTGATCTTTTTAAAAAATGTCAAGATTTAATATCCTATTCCTCTTTCCCCTAAATTTGGGTCTAAATATCAGGAAAGGAGAAACTTGTCTTTAAGCTTAGTTTTCAGCAATATCTATTGATTGTTAGAAAAACCTGTTAAGAGTCCATATTTGTTTCTTAACAGATAGCTACAGCCGATGGCTTGCGTTTTTTTCTTTTCTTTTGTTAGGGCCTCATGTATTACAGACTGGCCTTGACCTCATTATATAGCTGATGGGTTCCTCAGTTACTTTTCTGTTGCTGTGATAAAATACTATGACAAGAGGAACTTAAGGGGTAGAGGGTTCATTTTGGCACACAGTTCAAGGGGATAGAGTCCATCATGGTGGGGAAGATACAACAGGCAAAGAAAGCATGGTGGCAGGAGCAGAAGGCTGGGTGGTCACACTGCATTCCCACTCAGGAAGCAGAGAATGGATGGGAAGTTGGGGCAGGTTATACAGCTTCAAGGCCCACCCTCAATGACCTATTTCCTCTATAGAGGTTCTAACTCCTAAAGGCCCCATGACCTTACAACAGTGCCACCAGCTGGGGACCAAGTGCTCAAATACACAAGTCTATGGGAGACACACCACATTAAAACCACAACACTAAAGATGACTTTGAATTTCTGATCCTTCTGTTTCCACTTCTTGAGGCTACAGGTGTGCACCACCATCCCCAGTTCATACGGTGCTAGAGGTAGAACCTGGGATTTGGGGCATGCTAGGCAAGCACTCTACCAACTAAATTACAAAGTCTCTATCTTGCAGGAACACCTGGCATCAAAGCCTCTGCCAGTGTAGACAAGTGTACTATAGCCTGTGTTTGCTTTCAGAAACATCGCATTAGCGTCCACTTCTACTTTAATACTTTCTGATGCTGCTACCCTATTTTCTCATATTATATTATATGAGAAATCGAGTGCTGGTTATAACTTAGAGCTGCATATGCTTTGATAGATTCATCTATTCTCCAGGGAGAGGCTATGTCTGCCTCCTGCCAGGTATTCCAGAGCTAAACACCTCCAATGACTTCCTACACTCTGATCAGCTTCCAGTGACAATTTTTGTCTGCTTTTCTCCCAGGAAACCAAAGCTTAGGTATGATTCCTTCTGTCTTGTCCATCTATTCCTTCCTACTCTATCAAAAGCATAACTATGTGTACAACTCAACTCAATCCCCAGGCCTCAGAATACAGAAGCACTCCTGCCTAGGCATCGTCCATGTATATATACTCTGTAGAGGGTGGATTAAGGTTACAGGAAATGGATCAGTTTTAGATCAGAAACCCTCTAGTTCGTTCTCTCTGTCTCTGTCTCTGTCTGTCTCTGTCTCTGTCTCTCTCTCTCTTGTCAGTCTAGCTTCCATAGCTTGCTCTGGGACAGAAAATCATTTAAGTGTCCTGTGGTCTTATACTCTCCCTTCCCCTCCCTGCTCCCTACCCAGGCCTAAAACAACCTTGGATTATGCCTACTCCTTATTAGTACCTTCCTGTCTTGTAACATGTAGGCTAGGTCACATGGTATGGAACTTGTCCCCCTTCTCCCAAAAAAAGTCTTTAAGAATCAGAAATCCCCTTTGTCTTACAGAATGGAAGGTTCTCTCCCTTCAGGACCATATCATGCTGTCTATGATATGATACCATCACAGACCCAATATTCTGGGAAATGAAGGGAGTTAATTGAAGGTATCATCTCTCTTGATGCTCCCTCATTTGGGGCTTGCTTATGGCAGTGGGCCTATAACTTTCCTAATAAAGTTCTTCAGAGAGATAATTCTGTTTCAGTTTCCTTTACACGGACCTATCTTTATCTCTCTATAACATCAGTGAGTTGGAGAGTGAGTAGAACAGATGTGTGAGCTGGTTAGAGAGTAATCTTCACAAAGAGGAGGTGGAACCAGTCCTCTTTGGGAAATTCCAACCTTGCCCTGCCTTCGACAATTTATGGTTGAATTTGAAAGGTGTTTAGAATATAGTTTCCCCCACCATGGTTGCAAAGTAAGCTTTTTCTTCTTGATGTTTTCCTTTATTGTCATGTCATTACCTACTTTGGTTAATAATTGCTTGTGGCTGAGTATTTGACCTCTGAGGCCATTTATGAGTTTTGAGTCCTGTCTTTTCCACTGGCTAGCTCTTTGAACTTGGAAAAATTACTTAATCCCTATGTGCCTTGCTTTCCTTCTTTGCCAGTGGAAATAACTGAAGCACCTGCTACATCATATAATTTTGAACACTGAACAACTCCTGACATATAGTAATACCTAAAAAAACCTCTAGGTGTTACTGCTATTATAAACACCGCCCCCCACACACCCCACACACATACCATGTCTAGGCTCTTCAAATAAACCATATGTTCATTGTCATCCCAAAGGATCCTGTTTTACACTTCTTGATATCCCATAAGTATCTGATGCCTTGCACTTAAGTTCTGAGGTAGCTGTAGTAGGTTATAATAGAAAGTGGATGCACACTGTCCCTGAGAACCACTGATAGAAGCTTCTGGAAATACATACTGGTAGAGAATTTTCTTAGTTATTGTTCCTATAACTGTTTCATGGAGTCAAATATTAAGGGAGAACAGGAAAGGGCTAAAGCAAAAAGAGATCTTATTGTATGATATTGTTTGCTTGTTCTGTGCTATGCATAGTTCATGTATCACATGTAATCCTCACCACAACTCTCTGAAATAGAAATAAAATATAATCATCCTACATTTTCTAAGTGAAAAGTGTGAAGCATTGAGTTTTCAAAACCCTGCCTAGGGCCACCAGCTGATTCAACATTCTGAAGCCAGGCATGATGTGCTAGTTAACATTGTCAATTTGACAGTATCAAGAGTCACCTTATTGAGGAGATAAGCCTCTGGCCATGCCTGTGAGGGACTATCTAGAAAAGATTAACTGAGGTGGGAAGGTCTACCTTGACTATAGGTAGTGCCATTCTCTGGTCTAGGATGTTTGAGTAAATAAAAAGGATTTGAAAGAGACCTAAGCCCTAGGATTCATCACTTTCTGGTTCCTGACTGGATTCAATGTGCCCAGATGCCTTAAGCTCCTGTCGGACTGCATCCCCTGGAACTGTGAGCCAAAATAAACACTTCTGTTCTTTCATTGCCTTTGCCAAGTAAAAAGTAAATATGACACCAAGCCCAAGTCCTAGCTACAATGTTACAATGTTTAATCAGGGACCACATAGGGAGTCAAACTCCCACAGACCCACAGAACTCCAAGCATCTCACTCAACTCAATGATGACAGATGATGAAGAATATGAAAATCTGCCTTCATGTAAAGTGTATATTGGTTTCCACCTCAACATTATTTACATCAATTTAATTGGAAAAATTCATAGTTTCTCTGCACAAAATGTGTTTCTCAGTGTGTTTTAGATTATAAACTTGAATAGTCTTAAATAGCTCTGACATTCTTACTATAAGAAATGCGGTATAAAAGCTACAATTTTAGTTTAACAATATATAGAGATACAGAGAGTGGAGCCAAGAGTTTCCCGAATAAAACTGCACACAAGATTTGAAATTTTAAGGTCATAGAATAGATAAGACGCTGTGAGGTATTTAGGATTTATAAAGTGACAGCATTTTACTGAAATGTCATTCCAATTTAACTTGAGAATATTTATATTTGCTATAGAATATCTCATCTACAACTGAAAAAATTATAAGGCAAAATAAAAGCCCAGTTATCCATGACTTCTCATGTCATTTAAAAAAGCTTAATATTTTTTATTATGTATTTATTTGTTAGTTGTGTTCTTTTCAAGTTACTCTTTTTATGTCAATGAGAGTTAAAAGTCATTCTGGTTAAAGTTTTGCCAAATAAGCACAAAGCTCACCCTAGCTAAAGGGAAAAAATGCAGAGCCCATGAATTTTTAAAAGTTCATACATAATATATCATAAGAGTGGGGTGGACAATATGGGGCACATGCTTTAATAAAAAGCCCCTTGACCATTTCTCAGAGACTTTGATATGTAATCAATACTCAAAAAGCTATCTTGGGGACAAAGTCAAGATTTACGACACTTTTACCAAGAGTGACACTTCTGCTTACTCTATCAGCTGGGGAACATGTTGAATTTCAGAGAATGCAAGAAAGGATGGTGCTGCTTTCCGCCTGAGGATGCTTCAGAAGTGTACCTTGTGGTTTGCTGGTGACATAGTCGATGGAAGGAAGAAAACGACCTAAATGGGTTTAGTGCATATAACTGGGAAACTCACATGCAGTTCAGTATCTGTCCATGACTGTGTCAGACTTCGGCTTCTTCCTGACTCTGAGATCAAATCTCCGGATGAAAGATCTACGACACGTGAGTGAAGTTTCTAGGTAAAATCAAGCAGAAATGTCGGAGAGTGTTACTTAAAATCTTTGTTTCTAAGTCCTCCTTTGGACAGAGAGATCTGTAGAGTTTGACATTTCCCATTTGGAGAAAACATGTCATAACTCAAGCAAGTCTGTTCTAGCTCATCAGTGTTCCATATATATGTGTAAGTGTAAACTATATTTTAGAAACAGCAATCACAATTATGTAATCTGACAGTCTGCCTGGGAAAATGCTTAGTAGAATCAAGTAAGAAATAGTGGGCCGGGGAGATGGCTTAGTTGGTACTGTGCTTGCTGTTACAAGCATAAAGACCTGAGTTGGATCGCTGGAACCCACATAAAAGGTTGTGTGTGGTGGTGTGAACTTGTAATCTCAGTGCTGAGGATATAGAGACAGGATCCTTGGTCAGCCAGCCTAGCCCATTTGGTGAGTCCCAGGCCAGTGAAAGACCTGTCTCACAAGACAAATTGAACACTTCCTGAGAAACATCTGAGGTTGACCTCTAGCTTCCATGTGCACAGGAAAACACACACACACACACACACACACACAGCAGAGACAGAGACAGAGAGAGCAACACAGAGACAGAAGTCATAGTTTGAAGATAAGTAACAGGAAAATTAACTTTTGATATTCTCATTAAAAAAGTGGAAACAGTCACAAGGTTAATCTTATTATATTCAGCCATGGTTAAAATCTAAGCGAATAATTATAAAAGTGACCTTATTTCTAAACAGTACTGATCTTAGGAAATCTTCCCTTGGACACATTTTAACTCAAAGTCATTAGCGTCATCTGCTAGGAACAATTAATGTGAATAGAAAATAATTGCATCAGGGACCTGGGGACTCAGAAGATTACGTGCATTAATATTTACGCACTATTCAATTACATACTGAATTCGCTATTTCAGTTTTGTTTTGGAGGCCTGCTACAGAGGAGATGTTTCACTATATTAATCTTTATACTAATTGCTAAGGCTTTCTGGTGGACACTAAATTTGATTTGTTTAATTGCAAATACAATAAAACCCATTATTTATATGTCATTTTTCTGCCTGTCTGGTGACATCTTAGAAACGGTCCCTGTACCCTAGTTTGTCTTGGTCACAACTTTTGTGACTTCAGATGTTAAAAGTATCTAATCAAGTGAGAAAATAATGTCGCTGAAAGATTATCTACCCCTTTTCCATTCTAGAGAGGGCCTGCTGCAGAATGAGGCTGATCTAAGCAGTGTCTTAGAGTTGGGGAGATGGCTCAGCATGTAAAGTACTTGCCTTACAACTAAGAGGACCTGAGCTGGGATCTCCAGAACTCAGGTAAAGCCAGACACAGTCGTGTGCTTCTGTCATCCTAGTACCCCAGTACCCCTACAGCAAGTCGAGAGGCAGAATAAGGAGAATAAGGCCCCAAATAAGTAGCTACAATAACAACACCTTTGCTTCTGGATAATTTTTCTGATATCTTTCTCAAGTGCTGTCTGGAATCTGCATCTCCCATTGTTAACTGCTCAGGACATGCCACAGTATATTATATCCACTAAGTACCCAATTAATGCTTATTACAGTCTAGAAAGAAAAAGATCTTAGATCTTCCCCACACACATATAGGTTTTAAAGATTGAGAGAGTGCCAAACGAATTATGATTTTCTAAGACCTAAAGATACATTTATCAATATGCAAACAGTAGCAGCAGTTATGGGAAATGACATTCAACAAAAGAAATAATGATTTTTGAGTGGTAGATCATGTGATTTGGGGGAAGAACTCTTTACAGATTAGATATCTGACTTCTCATCTAGTTCGTGATTGGACTTCACTCTTTCTTCTCAGATACATGATGTCACCCTTCACATACTGCATGAATATGAGTGTATGCAGACCTATCCTCCTTATCAATGCCTTGTGTCACTGTTTTTATCTGATCGGTCAATTTGATCCCTTGAAATAGGAAAGTGTCTTAGTTTCTTTCCCTGTTTCTCTGACAAAACACTCTGACAAAAGCAATTTAAGAAACGAAGGGCTTATTTGGGGTCACTGTTTTAGGGCACAGTCCATCATAGTGGGGAAGTCATGGCAGCAGGAGTGTGAGGCACCTGGTTACACTGCATCCTCAGTGAGGCAGCAGAGAGTGATGACTGCAAGCAAGCTAGTGCTTAATTCACTTTCTTCATTTCATAAAGTCCAGATCCCAGCCAGGAAATGATGCCACCCACAGTAAGCAGTCATCCCCCCTTAATTAATATTATCAAGATAATCCCCCAGAGGCATACCCACAGGCCCATCTCACAGGTGGTTCCAGATTCTGGTCATTGATACTTAACATTACTCATCACTGAAGTCTCTATGGAAGATGGGGTATGTCCTGGGGCCAGGGTCATGAGTCCTGAATCCAAGCTCTAAGGCACTAGTTTCATAGGATCTTGGGACTGTAATTATCCCTATCTGGGTAAGATCCACCACCACCTATTATAAAAATATGGAAATTGTCACTTAATCTAATCACAGGTACGGAAAGGTAGAGCCACAATGAGAAGGGGTAGTAGATAAGAGCGCTCTATGAAATCTACAGCAGCCTCACAGCAAGGTATTGCCAAATCTCAGAGCTGGTGGTAGGATAGGATAGAATACCTTGATATCCAGTTTCCATATATATGAAGCAGGTATAAAAAGAAATGAAAATAGAACTTATATGAGTGATGAAGCTGCAGGCAAGACAATGGGAAGTGGGCCTGGAGAGGTGGTAGTCAAGAGCACTTGCTGTTCTTGCAGAGGACCCAAGTTTTGTTCATAGCACCCAAAATTGACAGCTCCAAATCATTTGTAACTCCAGGTCCAGGAGATCTGATACCCTCTGCTAGCCTTCTCATGCAATAGGCATGCACAGGGTGCCCATATGCACATGCAGGCAAATACTCATACACATGAACAAAAATAAGTAGTTCCTTTTTTTAAGAAATTGAAGATAAACATCTCACAAAATTTCTCTGAAGTAACTATGAAATCTCAGAAGCCCATGGATGTCATGTTACATATGAGAAAATTTCCCAAAGACTTAGTTTTCTTCTTTCTTTCTTTCTTCCTTCCTTTCTTTCTTTCTTTCTTTCTTTCTTTCTTTCTTTCTCTTTCTTTCTCTTTCTTTCTTTCTTTCTTTCTTCCTATCTCTCATCCATCTATTGTCTATCATCTATCTATCATCTATCTATCTTCTATCATCTATCTATAATCTATCATCTATCTATTTATCTATCATCTATCTTTCTATCTATCTGTCTGTCTGTCTATCTATCAATCATCTATCTATCATCTATTTATTGTCTATCATCTATCTATCATCTATATCTATCTTCTATCATCTATTTATTTTTATTGGGGCTGTAGAGATGGCTCAGCAGGGAAGAACACTTGCTACACTTGCAGAGGACCTGGGTTCAATTCCCCACACCCACATGCTGGCTAGCAACCATCTGTAACTCCAGTCCCAGGGGAATCCAACTCCCTCTTCTGACCTCCGAGGGCATTGCATGACATGGGTGCATTGACATACATGCAGTCAATACACTCATACACTAAAAATAAAAAAGTAAGGCAAAGGTGTGCTTGCATCCTAATCTATCTATCTATTTGTCTATCTATTATCTATCTATCTGTCTGTCTGTCTATCATCTATCTATCATCTATTGCTGTCTATCTATCATCTATTCTGTCTTTTGGAGACAGGACTCCCTGTAGTCCCAGCTGGCCTAAAACTCACTACATAGGCCAGGCTAGCCTTCTATCTATCTATCTATCTATCTATCTATCTATCTATCATCTATCTGTCATAAATACATCCCCACAGACAGGCATACATACATATTTAAATGTGTACAAATTAGTTTTCAGAGTGAGATTTTGGTGTTATCTGTGGTTAATTTTGCTCTCAGTGGAAAGAAGACAGAATGTAATAATGGGGATTTTTTTTTGTGTGTGTGTGTGTACAATGAGTATGTGTGTGTGTGTATGTGTGTGTGCAGACACACCTGTGCCATAGCACATATGTGGCGATCAGAAGACAAACTAAGGAAACTAAGGTACTGGTTCTCGCCTTCCACTTGTTTGAGGCAGGCTCTTTTGTTCCTCACTGCATGCACCAGGCTAGTTGGCCTGTGATCTGTGGATTCTACTGCTCTTTCTCCCATCTCCCTCTTGGAGTGTTATTATTACAGTATTACTATTGTGGCAGATTTACCTGGGCTTTGGGGGTTCATACTCAGGCCTGCATGGCAAGTGTTTTATCCACTGAGCCATCTTCCCAGCCCTCATGGGAAATTTGAGTAAAGTCATTATCAATGAGAGTAACCCACAATGCCATGACCTTTTGAGTAGTTTACCTACTCTGAGGGAAATACTTTAGCACAATCTAAACTACAGTTCATGAAGTTCACTGCAAGTGCCCCTTCTAGATGCAAATTCTTATTTGAACCACTTTAAATTTCAAGTCTTTAACACAAAAATCCAGAAGAATCCTGGATATAGACTCACTTTGTTTAAGCTGTGGGGTGGCAAGGTGACTTGAAGGTGGTTTTGAATTGACCGTACATTATTCACAGGCTGATCTCAGTTATTGAGATCCTGTTTGGTCTCAGAAAGAGACTCCCAGCCTCACACATCTCCAGAACAGAAGTGAGAGAACCTTTTGCTCACATACCTCCTTGATGGAGGTAGCCCCACCCTCCCTTCCTGTCAGTCTGGTCTCTGTGTCAGAAGCACGGCCCCTCCCTTCTGAGCTGATGCCTTCACCTGCTGTTCCATGGCATACTCTTACTACTCTGGATACTCATTCTTCAGAACTGTACTACAAATAACCCCATTAAAAGGCTGTCCATCTTTCTTGACCCAGGTGAATTCCATGCCTGAATAGATCACTCTGCCCTCTCATTCTGATCTGTTATCTGTTGCACATCATTATCGGATCAGAACAATTCATGCAATAGTTCCTATCCTGGAACTACAGATGATCAGCTCCATGAGAACTAAGGTTAAGACCTACATTTCAGCTTTGCTTCTGAGGTAGGGAGTTCTTGCTGAGTGATTCCTATCCTTTTCAAGTAGAGCTGGCCAAGTAACATGGGTTCTAGCTAGAGTATGAACAAGGGATGTTTACCTTCCCTCTGTGATCCCAAAGTATCTTCTATGTAGTTTTCTTCATTTATTTCCCCTTCCCCGGCTCAACACAGTCAATGCAAAACAGCAATCTTAGAGTTCATTTACAAGGTAGAGTCATCCAAGTAAAGGAGATTTGTATTCCTCAGTCAACAACTGGATGAGAGACACTCTGGGACCACAAATAGGTCCTTTGGACTTCACACAAAGAAGAGCAATGAGATGTGACTCATTAGGGCTTGCTTATTATCACCGCTAACATTGACTTGGCTGATATTACCCTTATCTAAGAAACACATTGAAGCATCTAGGGTAGACATTTGAAAAAAATGTATATATGTATATGTTCTAGTTTCCTTTCTGATGCTGTGATAAACCACTGACCAAAAAACAGTTTAGGGAAGGAAAGGACATAGTTCGATTACACTTCCAGGTCACAGTCTATCATTGAGGGAAGTCAGGCCAAGAACTCAAGCGAGAACTTGAAGCAGAGAACATGGAGGGGGCTGGTGAGTGGCTTAGTGGATAAGAGCAATGGCTGCTCTTCCAGAGGACTCCAGTTCGATTCCCAGCACCACATTCCCAGTTAATGTCTGTCCTTAACTCCAGTTCTGGGGTATCTGATGCCCTTTTCTGGCCTCTTCTGGCTCTGCATGACACAGGTGCACTTACATTTAGCAGGAAAAACCCTCATACACATAAAAAAATAACGAAATGAATAAATAAATTACTATTTTTAAAAAACCTGGAGGAACCTGCTTGCTGGCTCACTCACTGGCCTGCTCACTGGATCGTCCTTGGTTAGCTTTCTTACACAGTCTAGGACTAGTTGCCTAGGAAATGCCACCCACACAGTGGGCTGAGCCCTTCTACATCAGTTGATACAATCAAGTGATCCCTCATAGACATGTCAACAGACCAACTTCATAAAGATAGTTTCTATCTTTTTTTCAGGTGATTCTAGGCTGTGTCAAGCTGACAGTTAATGTTAACTAGGAATGAGTGTCTATGTGTGCGTGTGTTCATGTGTCTGTATTCATGCACACACATTTATACACTTACATATAATAACAATATCAACAGACCAAAGTGATTTCTTAGACTTTAAATTTTAGCTTCTTGGCAGTAAGGTCAACTTCATGTCTCTGTGTCCAAGAGTGGGAGTGGGAGTGGGAGATTTCTTGAAGAGCTAAGCTATACCATAATCTATAGTCAAGACACAACTTTTATACCATCTTAAAATACCAAGTGTATCTTTAAGGACCCAGTAAGATAAGGGCAACTGCTATCCATGCTATACATTGCATCAGTGTTATTTTGATATGTGGGAGAGGGAGGGGTGCTCAGTAATCCTCAGGCAGTCAGCTCTGTGTTCTTCACAGTTATGTATCTGTAAGACAAGGCTTAGGAATGTTCCCTTCAACAGACTGTGCCAAGAACAGGCTGTTCTTTATCTGGTTGGATCAAGGTGAGTGTTCCCTTGAGAGTGGCAGTGACTGATTCTGCAGCTGTGTGGTTAATGATCACCGTGGAGAGTGGAGATCAGAGCCAGGCTGGGGGCCAGAGTTTTCCATTATGCATCTCCTGTTGTTCACCATGACACAGTTCCTCAAATGCTCACTGAAGGCTTATTGCATGTAATAGAATTCTGCCTCTAGGTTTTGACTCAGTACATGATGATGTCTTAACTTTAAGCAGTGATTGCTACGGCCAGGAAGACATCATGACTTTATTTAGTGGTATAAAGTAAGGTTAAAAAAAACCCAGATCTTTATCCACGAAGTTTGGGGAACACTGGAAATCAAGCCAGATGAAGCAAGGAAAAGAAACTGGTGAGTGGGTTTTATATTTACTGTCATACTTTCTCATTTGAAAAGGAAGGTGTGAATTTTTCTGTTAGGATTTCAGAAGTTAATAGCTTAGTTTGAGAATAAAATGTGAAGGACAGAAAGAATGGTACAGCCACGGTTCCCATGTCTTCATTCAGTCCTTGAGAGAATTAATCTAGCACCATAATCATGTAGACAAATTTTCCTCCTCTATTAAAGACAAATATCTAGAGCTGGAGAGATAGCTCATTTGGTAAAGTGTGTACTGAGCAGGAATGAGGACCTGTGTTTGGAACTCCAGAAGCCTGCAAAAAGTGGGAACACAGCAGTGTGTGTCTGTAACCCCAGCACCAGGAAGTGGAGACAGGATGATACCTGGAGCTTGCTGGCCAGACAGTTTAGATGAAATGGTGGGCAAAATGTCAGTGAGAGAACTAGTCTCAAAAAGTAAGGTGGCGATGTATATACAAGAGCACATGTATGCACACATATGCACACTCAAAGACACACATAGCACACACACAAATAAAAACAGTAAGAATAAAAATAAAAATAATGAGCAATAAAGAAAAACATCCTGACTTCAATTTCTCACGTTTATGCATGTGTGAGTGCACCTACATAAACACGTGCATATATGTATACCCCAGAGACAAATAAAAATATTTGCTCAAAAGAGAAGTTGTGAGAATAAACATAGCATGTATCTAACTATTGGGCTCCACCAACATGGGTATAATGCATTCATCAAAAGAGGGTAGTTGTGAAAAATATTTTTCAGAAGCTTTTAAAATTATTTTTAATTATGTGTATATGGGGGTTTTGTTCAAATGAGTGCAGGTGCCCGTGGAGGTCAGAGGCACCAAATCACCATGGAACTGGAGTGACAGGCGATTATGAGCTGCCTGATATGGGTGCTTGGAACTGACTTGTGTTCTCTTCGAGTGTAATGGATGCTTTTAACCACTGAGCCATCTCTCTAGCCGCATAAATATTTTTAACTTGATCTCTTCCAACACCCTGATTTAATTAATTGGTGTATAAATGTCGGAAGTTCAACCCCAGTCATGTTTTATGGTCATCATAATTGCTGTGTTTTCCCTCTTGTTCATAATCTCTCAGCTGAAAGAGATGGTTTCTATGTCCACAGTTGTTTGACTTCTTGTTTTAATTACAAAGTGAGATGGTCTGTTCTTTCCGTATGATCTAGTGCTAACTGGACTTTACTCATCACCTATACTTGAACACTATCTTCAATATGCTTTTGATGTTAATATTTATTGTCATTTTGATGGGATTGAGAACCACCATGGGAAAATACTTCTACATGTATCCATTAGGGTGTTCCCAAAAAATTTAATTGAGAAGAATCACCATAATTGTGAGTGGCACCATCCCATGGGCTGGAGTCCTTGCCTGACTACAAGGGAGAAAGTAAGGTGAGTACCAGTATTCATCTCTCTCTGCTTCCATTTTCCATACCCGAGCCACCTTGGTCACCTTCTAAGTGGGTGTTGTTCATTTGCTCCTGACTTCTGTCTTGCTTGTTCCTTTTTGTTGCTTTCCACCATCTTGGCTGGCTGGTCATTCGGACCTGGTTAGTGTTCAGCTTCCCTCAGGTCTAATGGCCTGGATCCTGGGCCAATTTCTTATTAAATTTTTTTATTATTTATTTATCTATTTATATTTAGTGTGTATGTCTATGCATGTTTTGCAGATGGGAACATATGTGTCAGCACACACATGGAGGACAGGGGATAACTTTCAGGAGTTAGTTCTCTCCTTCAACCATATGGGTCATGGAGATTGAACTCAGGTTATCAGGTTTGGTTGCAACTGTCCTTAACTGCTGAGCTATCTTGTTGTCCCTGGGGCTGCTTTCTTAGCCATATAAATTACTGCTGTTTTCAGTTATAGTTTTTGTTTGTAAATCAGCTTGGCTACATTTCAGAGAGCTGATCCAATCTCACAGCTCCCATTCAAGCTCCTAGGGCCCTATTTCTTTTCCTTTGACTCAGTCCTAAATTGGCTCTGGGTGCAGTGTCTCTTGCCCTATATTCTCACTAAAATGGATGCAAACTTGGAAAGACTCCCTATAAAATACTCTGAAGACCTTTTGATACCCTTAACATCCTGAAATTTCCTATCTTCTGTGATGGGTAGAAAACATCTGTGGAGAATGTTTAAACGAAATGTTTCCAATATGGGTGTGAATCAGACAGACCCTGGTGGATAGGCTTTGTTCTTTCTGTTGGATAATAGAGCAATTTTCAGACTTATGCGTAAGAATCACTCAAAGTAAGTTCAAGAAAATTACTGAAAATAGCTCAATCTGATGAGTATAATTTCTGTATGGAAGCTTTACTCATCAAACAATCTTCCTCCATCCCCCCCCCAAAAACCCTCAAAGTTTTGCCTCACACATTAGACTTATATTTTTGCACTCTCAGAATTGTGATTTTTTTCATCAGTCTTTCTAAATTCCATCAAGAGCAATTGTGTTGGATTCTTGGGTTTGAATTTCATGGGTTTAGTTCTAATACATTAAGAATTTATTATAAAACCGAATATAACTTCATATTATATAACAGTATTATATGGTCATTTCTTAGAGTCACAAAAATTTGAGCCTAGGACAAAAATCTTTTTGGATAAAAGCTAATGTTTAATTAATCATGCCTTTCTTTCCATTTTGGGATAGAAAGATAAAAATACACTATCTGACCCTGCCATCTTGCTGAGGGATGCAGAGAGAGTGTTTTTCAAATGTTCTTCTAGGAGACCTTAAGATCTATATTCACCATGGTGTGATCTCATGTAGAGTCTGAAATGCTTATAATTACTTTTTTAAAGTCTATCAAAGTAGTCCTAGTTGCAAGTATTCTTTTTCCTGACAGCTTTTTGACTTGCCTTATGTGTTAATCTTCCCGTGCCCTAGTGTCTGTTCTGTCTCACTGTGGATGGCACTGTGGCAGTGGCATGGTTCTCCCTTATCTTTTCTACTTGTATGGGATTCCAAGTGATAAAATGCTTTTGAAAACAATTATTCCACCCATATATTCAAAATCTTCTTCAAGGGTCCCTGCTACCACGACAACTTCATTATCCAGTGGCTGCCTATGGAGGAGCATTTGGTTTGGTGGCTACAAAGTTTATCTGGGGTCTCTGCAGCATAGATGAATAGGCAGAGCATCTTGCAGCTGTCCTATCTGCTGAAATTCCATTAACAGTTCCTCTGTAGACGGGCAGGGTGAGGATCAGTAGGAAGATGGATGATTTTTCCTTAGAAGTCTCCACTCAAATTGGTACAGCAAGAAGCATATATGAGGCATATACTATGTGTAGAATTCTGACTATGAACTGTGGGAGACTTAAGTAAACTGGTTAATACAGATTAGGAGCTCAAACCCAAAGATGAGGGAAAACTATAAAAATTCTAAAGGTAAAGCACTCAAAACAGATTATGAAAGAGGGGCTTAGGGGTGTAAGTAGCTCAGTGGGTAGAGTGCTGATTGAGCATGTATGGAACCATAGGTTCCATCCCCACCACTGCATTAACTGGGCATGGGACCCACACCTGTAATCTTAGTGCTTGGGTGGTAGAAACAGGATCAGACATTCAAAGTGATCCTCAGCTATATAGAAAGTTCGAGACCAGCCTGGGCTACATAAGACCCTGTCTCAAAATGAAAAAGGTGGTATAGGAGAATAAGGGCTGTTTGGGAGCAGAGGCAGAGATGGTGGGAGGGTTGGTGTGTTAAAAAGGCAGTAAAGTATGTGGCAAGTGGTATCTATGCAGTAACTGTGCAAAAGCAAATCTACCCTCGTCACCAAGACTCCAAATCTTAAGGTTGGAAGTTCTTTCACTAAATGAATAACCATCAAGAATGCTTCAGAGTAACAGAACTGAGAAACAGGAAGTAGGGTTAGAACTTCAGTGCCAGGTAGGTCAGACTTGTGGGCAGGCGAAGAGAAATTTCTCCAGGGTGACTCAGGCTGATTGGCCAGTCCCAAGCCACCCCCACCCCCAAGCTTCCTCCTTGTCTTTGTATGTGAATCTGATCAGAGGGAGGAAGTGACTCAGCACAGCCCCAGCTTATTCTGGAATCTGAGAGATCTAGAAACACCTTGAAATTTCCGTTTATATCACTAATTACTTTAACAGGTTCTTTAATAAGTACTTTCCAATTGCTCCTGCTGTTTCATAAAATTATCTACACTACCTTTTTACATTTTTACATTTTTAATCAAGTTTTAGTTTTTGAAAATTCCTGGCTTTCGGAAGCTTTTTGCTTTTTACATTTGAGGGAACGAATTTCCCTTCTGATTTTGCTCAAATACACAGACTAGAAAGGAAAAAAAAGACTTCACTATTTTTTTTTTCAGACCTAATGGAAATCACACTGATAGTCCCTGGAGTTTAATGTACCATTTATTAGGAAGAAATGAGTTACCTCCTGCTCTGGGGAGGAAAGAGACACTGTGTGAAATCCTCTGCCTGAGCTTATCTCATAAAGGGTCATATTACTATGCGGAAGAAACTATTATTTTTGTTTTTAAGGAAGAGGACGTTAAGATGATAGAAGCTATGGAATATATCCAAAGTCACAAGGCTCTGTCTATCCCAGAAAGTAGTGCAACCAGGGTTTTCTCTGAGATCTGCCCCCTTTTCAGTCCAAACTCTTCCTCTAACGCTTAGTTTCGCTTTTCCTATAAAGGAAGGGTATTGAGAATCATATTGGTATCTTTTACAAGGGATGTCCCTAAGTGCTATAGGCCCACCCTTCAGGTCCATTCTCGTCAGATGAACTATGTTGTCATGGTGACTTTTTTTTCTGCCTAGATTCTTTAGGGAGGGGGGAGAGTGAGAGAGAGGAAAGAGAGGGGGGGCAGGGAGGGAGGGAACCTTAACAATAATAGCTGTGAGCATTTATTGAGCTCTGTCTGGCACTAAGCATGTGTTTCATCTATATAATTACACATATCACCCTCAGTGAGGTCCACAGTAAGGATAGTTATTATCAGCCCTACCTTTCAGGTAGTGAAACTGATGCAGAGACCTAAAACATCTTGCCAAAGGCCTTATAAGACTGCAGAGTTCATGCTTGTAATTCTACCCAATTAAATATACCTAATGAAAGTCTGTCAGGGACAATTTACTAAAATAACAATATAAAGTAATTAGACAATGAAATGGACTGCACAGAATTAATTAAAAGGTATCTCTATATTGTTGCTGGCTTGACTCAAATACAGTTCATTCATTAAAAATACTTTTCTTATTGCATTTTATTACTACTGTTATGATTATTTTAAAAAAGTTTTTATTAGTATTTCCTAATTATATTTCAAATGGTTTTATTATTCCATTTTCATATATGTATGTGATGCACTTTGAGCCTACTCACCCCTATTACTCTCACTTGTCCCTCCCAAGCCTGCTGTTCCCCTTCCTCTTCCCAACTAGTCCCTCTTCTGTTTTCGTGTCTTTTTTAGGTGACTCAATGAGGTCAATTAGGGATAATTACAGAAGTATGGGTGAGGGGTTATTTACAGGAGAACAGACAATTTACCAGGGGCTACATCACTAAAGAAAATGTCATTCTCTTCCCTAGTAACCGTATATTATAATTGGTTTTGCTAACCACTGTTTCTTTCTTAGACCTCTATAATTTTTTCCAGGAAACAAGTCTATCCATGAATCTGAACCTAACTGAAAAATAAAACTAAACTGAACAGCTACAAATGTGTAGAGCAAGCTAACTGCAGACTAGGTAATTTTGCTAAGAGTTTATATAACTTTTTCTTACTAAATCTTCACAGTCACTTGTAAAGGTGAGGCAGAAAATAACACCACATCCTTCTTACAAATGAGAAAAGTGAAGAACAACAGGGCTTATTTAACCCGAGGTCAAAAGTTTGAGAGGACCAAGGTCCCCACCATACCACAGGCTTGGCTCCTGGTTATCTTATTCAGGCTTCACCACTTGGGTACAATGATGACATGGTATCTGCCACCTGGCAGTTATGGAAGGGCACTCTGACTCTTGAGAATCACAGCTAAGCATAGCTAAGAGATGTTACAAATAAGAATAAGATTAATCTGAATAAGCCAACCTTCTGGCAAAGATGGGGAGGTGCTCTCTAGGCCCCACCCCTTACTGAGGAGCTATTGGCAGGTGATAGCTGTTGTAGAGGAGAATCATTCTTTTGTGGGGATGTGACCACTGGTATCTATGCACATATGGCAAGCAACTAATAAAAATAGTAAGACAACGACATATGGTAGGAGGGTGAAAGATGTGTTTGGAGGATATGGGGGATTTGGAATGGGACCATGAGATGCATAAGATCATATTTCATTGTATACATATAAGTAATTCTCAAGAAGAAAGAAAATATTTAGAGAAGAATATTAGTAATTAATATTCTTACTAATTACTAATTGGTAATATTACTAATTCTTTGAGAATCTCACACAATGTATTTTGATCATATTACCCCCAACCCCTCCCCATAAATCGTTTTAAATGAAAAAAAAAATTCTTTTAAAGAAATGAAATGAACACTCACTAAGGCAGGTACCTGTCCCAGTTTATTCAAACTGCTTTAACAAAGCACTGTAACCCAAGTGACTCATAATCAAAATGAATTTAGTCCTGGAGGCTGCTCAGCCTAAGATTACGGTGTTGGTGTGGGATGCTTCCCGGTTCACAGTGGAGAACTTCTTGCTGTCCAATGGAGGAGTAACTCTCTGAGGTCCATGTTCTATGGGTACCATTCCATCTAAGAGGGCTCCCACCTCCTCATGTAATCTCTCTCAAAGGCCCTGCCTCCTAATACTATCACACATGGGTCAAGATTTTTTAAGAGACAAGTTCTCATATATTCCTTGAACTTACTGAGGATGACTTTGAACTCCTGATTTTGCCTCTACTTCCTGTATGCTACGATCACAGGTGTGTATCATCCCTCCCAGTTTCTGCAGTGCTAGGGATTAATCCCAAGGCAGGTGGAATTCAGTTTTGGGCGATGACATACCATGGGACCTTCAAAGGCTTCTCATAGCACCTCACCACAGCGGTCAGGACAAGAATATGAGAGCAGTGATGGGAATGGCTTTGCCAATGCGTGCTCACTGGTACTTCAGTGCCTGGAGTCCTGGTTTTAATAGGACAAACTGCTGGAGTCTTATTCCTCTTACAGCATCTGTGCGGGTGTATGACGTGGACAGAATTTATGGCTGAACATTCAGTGAAAGCCCATTGTCTTCCTTCCCCTGATAGATCACACTAAGTTGTTTATGATCTGACTTTCAAATGTATTACTTCCTTTGCCCTATAATTTTGTTACTAAAAAATCCACATCACAGCTTCCCCATAGCTTTGTCTCTAAAGCAGTTTTTAAAATTCACTGTTCCTTCACCTCCATGGTAAGAAATGCTTTATGGTATTATAAGCAAGCAGTTGAAAATTGTTATTTATGTGGCTTCCTAAGAGTAATTTGAAATATAGGGCATGGAATTACTGACTTACAACATTGTTCAACAGTAACAGTGGGAAGGGTAGTATGTAAAACAGGCATTAAAGGATTAGTTGTGAAATAGGTTTCATGAGTCTAAATCATTTCTTGGCAAACGACCATTTTTAACCATTGTGTAGAATGCAAGTCAAATGGGTTGGTTTTTATTTTTCTATTATTTGCTAAATAGATTCACTATTTAAATCTCAATTTTATATTTTTTAGGCATATTAGGGAAAACTGAGATAGGCAGGATGCCGGACTTTCCACTCAAGTTGCTCTGGCTTCCCTGGCCAACTGTCCATCCAGTTTTCTTGAATGATTCCACTGTGCTATCAGAGAAAAAAGTGTGTTATGATATTACAAACGCCAGTGTGAGAGATAAGGAATTGCAATTGCATTAGAACAATGAGCAAAGGACTGGGGAGTTGGCCGAGTGAGCAAAGTGCTTGCTGTGTAACCATGAGGACTTAAGTTTAGATCCCTGGCACCCACATAAAACAGGGCATGGTGGTACACACTGTAGCCCAGTGCTTAGTAGGGGAAGGAAAATGAAGGAGAGGAGGAAAAGGGAGAAGAGGAAAAGCAGGAGTACAAAGGAAAGAAGGACAAAGAGGAAGAAGAATGGAAAGAGCACAATGAGGAAGAGGAAGAAGGAGGACAAAGAATAAGAGGAGGAGGTCTGCTTGGAGCTCACTGGCCAGGTCAGCCTAGCCAGATCAATGAGCTCAGTGAGAGACCCTGTCTCAAGTTAGGATGAATGACAAGCAAGGAAGAGCCTGGACGTTGACTCCTGGCCTCCACATGGACATGCAAGGGTGCATACACCTCCTACACACATGCACACATAACCTCCCCCCCAGAACGTCAGTGAACACACAAAATCACACAAATCTTCCACAAGACATAAAACAGTATCTCCAACACTTTTGATTCAGAATCAACAAGCATATAACACTTTCTTCTCATCGCTCTTGGAGGAAGAAGGTCAAAAAAGAAATTCCTAATCCCCTAGGGTAAAAATTGTGAGTCATTAAGCAGATATTTGATGCATAAATATAAATAACATAATCTCTCCATTTTCTTCTGAGACAGTTGCTGGCTACCATAATCCTAAAATTATTCTATCCTCACAAATCCCTAAAGATTTATTAATTTTCATAAACTGCTTTGATGGAAACTTTCCTCAAAGATGCACAGTAATCTTTCTCTTAGCTCTTTTTTCATTTTGTATCATGAGTGGCATTTCCAACCTCAGAGGCCGCTCAAAGTGAGTTCTTATTTTTCAAAGGAATTGGTTATGGATCTATAAATAACCATTATAAAGAAATGAACCCCAGAGAGAAAATAAAGAGCTCTCAGACTTATTTCAACAACTATGAGAGATTAAAATTCCCAAGAAGTAATTAAGATGATAAAATTAAGGGTTGGTGTTGAACACTTGCAAGTAATCAACTGGTTTTAAAGACACTACTGTTTTGTCTCAGACTGCACGTTGGAACTTACAAGTATTTCTCCTTAACTGCTCCATGTTAAGGATTCCAAGGGCTTCAAATTATTTCTTACATATATATCTCTATTATTTGTTTCAGCTATTTGATGTGGGAAGCCAAATTTCTTTTTATAAACTCATTTCTCTTGTTTTTGTTTTTTAAAAGAAAGTATCTCCTGTATCCCAGGCTGGCCTTAGACATAATACACATCTGAAAATGACCTTGAATTCCCGATCTTCCTGCCTCTGTCTCGCCAGTACTGGGATTACAAATATGTGCCATCATGCCTGATTTATGTAGTGCTGGGGCTAGAACTCAGGACTTCCTGCATTCTAGACAAGCACTCCACCAACTAAGCTACATCTCCAGGTTTATAAACCCACTCCTACTGATCAAAAACTAATGAAATACTGGGTGCAGTGGCATATGCCTTTTATTCCAGTAGTCAGGAGGCAGAGCTGGCAGAGATCTGTGAGATCAAAGCCAGGAGGCCAGTCTGGTTTACATAGTGAGCTCCAAGTCAGCTGGGGCTACAGGGAACACCCCCGACACACCCTGAAAAAAAAAGAAGAAAGAAACCTAATAAAGTAAAATGCCCTTTAACTTGAGTGCATAAAACTTTAGTCAGTTTATTCAAAACCAAATAATTGCATCAGAAAGTATGTCACCTGTTCCCAGGTGTCACCAGACTCAATGTTAAGCAAAGTCCAGGTGCACAGTCATGGGCAAGATCATTTTACTGCCACTACTGGAATTCAATGTTACAATTCTCCACACCTTCTTTACAAAGGGCTCCCAAACATTGATGAGTTTGACATAGTTTAAACCAAGATAATAATACCTACAAAGCTATCTGTAAATGTTTTAGAATGCATCCTGTGCTTAGTTTAACAAGTTAATCACCCTGCACATTTGTAACACTCTAACCAGGGAAGCAGGGAAGCATGTGGCCTCTGGCATCATCGTCCTGGGTTTAAATCCTGGCTTTGTACAATGAAGGTAAGCTACTTCATCTCTTGAGCCTTTGTTTCCTTTGAGGGTAATAACAATACTAGTTCACAGAGGCTCAGTAAAGACATAGAGTTCCAGGAGAAACTCTTGAACTCATAAGGCTGAAAGCATGATTCAGTCAGTTAAGGTGCTTGGAGCATCCTGGATTCTTGAGAAAACATCTGCTGTTTTCAGGACCAGGGATATTATTTGTGAGACCCAGTGCAGGGAGTCCTTTGTAAAGAATTTTAACATGGTGATAATGGGGTATCAAGTCAAGTACAGGACACTCTAAGGCCTGGTGTGAGGTCCATAGGTTACACACTGATGAATCCAGTCCTGGTTGTGACTATTTTTTTTTTTCATCTTTTTGAGAGAGATAGCTCCAGCTGCCTGGAACTCACTCTGTAGACCAGGCTGGCCTTGAACTCAGAGGATCCACCTGCCTCCCAAGTGCTGGGATTAAAGGCATGCGCCACCACACCCGGCTACATTTGGTTTTTATTACACAGAACCATAGCTCATAAGCAATAATACGCTTATTGAGTATAAGCACAGACTTTTGAATTTAAGCAAATTTTTATATGTGTTTAGTGTGTGTGTACATGTATGGGAGGGTGCACATTGCAGATGTATGTATAGGCCAGAGGTTGACATCAGGTGTCTTCCACTATCCATCTCCACTTTGTCTTTTGAGACAAGCTCCCTCACTGAAACCAAAGCTCACCAATTTACTAGACTGACTGGCCAGAGTGCCTTGAGCATCCACTCCTGTCCCCATCTCCACCAAGACTAAAATTATAAATGTTGAGAACCACATCTGGCTTTACATGGGTACAGCGGATCCACACTTTGCTGCCTGAACCATCTTACAGGTCCAACATAATTTTTAGTATCTGCTTTGCTCTTATCTTCAATGGCTTACCTTCAGTTAGTTTAAGAGTCAACTTAGGCCTTCCACCATATAACAGAAACAAGACCTAATCAGTTTCCCAATTGAAGAACAACTTCCACTGAAGCGTGCTGCTCAGCAGCAAGGTATCCAGTTGAACTGGCACAGTGATCACAGTGAGGAAAGAGGAAGCAAGCAGTACTTTTAAAGAATACTTATTACTTATTTATTTTATGTGTATGAGTATTTTGCTTACATGTATGTAAGTGCACCCATGCATGTAATGTCCATGGAGGCCAGAAGAGGGTATCGTATCTCTTGGAACTGGAGTTTCAGACAGGTGTTAGCTGCCATGTGGGTGCTTCAAACTGAAACTAGGTCCTCCTCATGAACAGCCAGTGCTCCTAACCGCTGAGCCATCTCTCCAGTCCTGAACAATACTTTTCAGAAATTTTTTTTTGTGTATGTGTGAGTACATCTATGATGTCTGTGAATGTGTGACATGTGTGTTTGTGTGTATACACACATTCATGTGTATGGGTATGAGCTTGCTCATGCCACAGAATAGATGTGGAGGTCAGAGGACAACTTAGTTTTCTGTCCTCACCTTCTATCCTATTTGAAGTAGAATCTCTTTTTGGCCGTTGAGCATGCCAGACTAGCTAGCCCACGTGATTCCAGGGATTTTCCCCTTTCTGTCCCCATGTCACCATAGAAACACTGGGATTATAGACACATGCTACTGTGTCTGGCTTTATGAGGTTCCAGGTGTTTGAATTCTGGGCCCCACACTAGTATACCAAGTGCTTTACCCACTAAGCCATGTTCCCTGCCCCTCAGTAGCATTTCTGAGTCACAGCTGCTTTACTATCAGAATGTCAGGAATGGCATTTTCTAAGGTCCTGTGTGTTTCAATGGGTTTCCTTTCTGTCCTCATAGGGGGCTGTTCATGATCTGGGCAACATTCCTTCTGCAGAGAATTTATTAGAGGGAGCCTCCATTAAGGGAAAACATTGACTTCCTGCCAAGGTAGCCCCCATGGCAGTGGGCAGAGCCAGTGTCTGAATGTATACTGTTCACTCCCTGCCCACTTACCCACCCATCATTCCTGATTTCCACATTTATGAGTGTTCATGTGTGTACAGTTGTACTTGTGTATGCAGGTACACATGCCTATGTGTTTTAAAGCATGTGGAGGCCAGAGGACAACCTCCGAGTGTCATTCCCCAGGAACCATCCACATTGTGTTCTGAGACAGAGCTTGTTTTTGTCCCGGAGCTTGCTAAGTAGGCTGAGTTGGTTGGTCAGTGAGACCCAGGGATCCACCTGTCTGCCTCCCCAATACTGTGGTTATAAATGCATGCCACCAGGGCCAGCTTTTAAATTTTTTTTTCATGCAGAATTGAACTCAGGTCCTTATGCATGAAAGGCAAGAATTTCACCAACTGAGACATCTCCCCAGTCCTGTACTTTAGCAGTTCTGCATGCCTTAATTCTATCAGGATTTTTTGTTTGTTTGTTTTATCCTGATTCTGACTTGGTGAAATTTATCCTGTTGTTATCTGTGATCCCAAACATGTCACAGAGGTAGGACCAGTTCCTAGTCAAAGCCCAGGGCAGAACATCAATAAAGTATAAAATGATAAATGAGGGCTGGATAGATGGCTCAGCAATGAAAAGCACTTGCTGTGTAATCACAAGGACAGGAGTTCAGATCCCCAGACCCATATAACAAGCTGGGCATCCTGTATACATCTACAACTCCAGCTCCAAGGGAACAAAGACAGGAAGATTGGTGGGACTTGCTGGCTTCCAGCCTAGCTGAGAAAATGCTAGCTCCAGGTTCAGGGGGAGATCTTGTCTCAAAGGAATGGACAGAGGTTGAAAGACAAGGACACCTAACACCTTTTCTGGTCTCAGTGCACATGCACAGGTACCCACACACTTGTGCACATATACTCCCACAGACATACATGCACACATAGACACACTAGTAAAACTTAAAAAAGAATCAAAATTAAAAATGAACACTTGAGTGTTCTACCCCACATAATCTTTCCTGACCCATCTCTGAGTTTCTGATGGTTTCCTTTGTCACAGCACTGTGCAAACATGGTCTCTCAGACACAAATAAGTAGAACATTTAGCTCCTCCTGTCCCTCTCCTTGAACTGCAATGTCTACCCATAATTACTGAGTGTAATAACAACCATAATTATTCTGTCTTCACATGATACTGGAATATACATCTTAAAATATGAAAATACTTCAATAATTTCTCTTTTACTCATTTTCTCTAGGACCAGGATGGACCATGTTATGTGGCACTGGAGTGCCCTGGAGCCTCCCATAGGTGGATGGGCAATTGTGAGAGTTTTACATTCCGTTTCACATTTACTTCATGAATCTGTCACCAGACTCCGGAATCCTGTGAAGGAATTAGGCATCTCTTGATACAATCTCCTTATTGACATTTATGCTGATCGATGTTGGCTCTTACAGAATTGGAATCTGCAGATCAATTCCCTTATTAGATTCTCTCTTACTGCCTCCATAATCATTATATCAGACGGGCTGCTGCTATCAAATACTGCTTTATCACAATGTAATGGGACAAGTGAAATCAGTTCCTCTAGTCTGTTACAAGAAATAAAAAAGTTTTCCTGGTTTTAAATCTCACTTTTCTCAAGTCTTAAGAGATTCCTTGATAATTACATTTACAGAGAGGTTAATTTGAACTTACTCTCCCTTAAAAACTGTGTTCCTTGGGGAAAACAATGTTGAATCCTAAGGGGAATGCTTACAAAACTCCTTGAAAAAAATTTCCCTCTCCTTTCAGAGTTTTAGGTGTCAGAAAATGCAAATGCTGACTTCTATAGCAGTTGGGCTTGTTTAGACCACCATATGACTCACCTATACCACCCCTGGGTATTTACACAAAAAAAACTTCAAGTCAGAGCTCACAGAGAAGCTTGCACATCCATGTTCATGCAGCACTGCTCACAACAGCCAAGTTATGGAGCCAACCATGGTGTCCGCCAACAAAAGAGTGGCTAAAGAAAATGCCGACTCTCACACATGATCTC